CAGGGTCAGCTCCAGGTGCTGTTGGGACCACAGAGGGCTGAACCTGGTTAAGCTCCTACAGATGAACCTTATGCTGTAGATCTGTTGTGAGAGGAAATTTCACATAGTTTTAAGAGAGAGAGAGAAAAAAGAAAAGTTCTACTTTGCAGTTTACATTTTAACCCACAGTTTCATAACACCATCTTAAGTGGGACAAACCCAGAGTTCCAGATAAATGTATATTCTTTTTATATAACAATGCGTTTTGCTTTTTGATGTTTTTTTTCTTGTTTTGACTGCAAATTATTTTTATTCTTTTAATCAGTGAGGGCACATTAAATTAATCGAAAATGACATTAAAAACGTTTATAATGTTAATATTTGTCTTTCAACTATATTTAAGGAATCCTACATTTCCAAATTTTGTTTCCACAAAAATAGTAAGCATAATAATATGAATAATAAGCATTAACATTTTAAAATGTTAAAATAGAAAAACTTTTAAATTGTAATAATATTTCATAATACAGTTTTACTGTATTTTTGAACAATAGTGTGTTTGTGTATGTGTGTTTTTATATAAAATAAATTGTGTGTAAAAGATGATTTTTTTTATATGAATATATACAAATTTATATCAAATATATAGTTTTTTATGAATCTATATGAGATTTTGTGTTTTCACATTTAGTATAATTGTAATAATTTAAACACTTTTTAAAAATATACAATTCTACTTTTGAAGAGGGATACTTTTGAAACTCTATTCAATTAATTTGTGATTTGCAAGTTCACAATTCTGATTCTCACTTAATTCAATATCACTTAAGTTAGAAATAGTACAGTTACAATGTGTATTTTGCTTTGATGTGAAGTACATTATGTGAACAGTACTAAATAAGCTGTTTTTATGTAGCTAGTAGTATATAGCAGATAATAAACACCGGTTAGCAATATATCAAACAAGGTTTTAATTTTGAGGGATTTTAAGAATCAATATTAGATTGTTATTAATCTTCAAATCAATATTTTTTTACCCATACCTTACCTTTAGTTATGCGCATTAGTCAATGCAAATATATTGTATCAGAATGCAAAATGTCTCCAAATCAGGCTTATTTGGTGAGTGTCTTGATACCCCAATTAACCCCCCCCCCCCCCCCTTTTACAACTTGTATTCATGACTCTGTGTTTTTCCACTCTCCACAGCATCGCATATGCATCCTCCTCTCCTAGGCCACCGTTTCAATCTTCTTCGCTAGCTACAACAAACATTACATTTACATATTGATTTCGCAGTTTTAGTCAATGTAAATAAGCTGCCATTACAGTAAATTTGGTCCTCTGTTAACATAAGCTTGTCCAAAGCTCCTCAGATTAAGGCGCTGGTTGCATAATTAATGTGTGCGTTACATATTAATTCCCAGACTCTCCTCTTCCTGACTGCTTTCATTCTAACCCTGATTAGCCGGCAGGCTCGCCTCTAAGCTGTTGATTCATATTCACACACACAGACGGAGCATTTGCTCAAAGCGCTACTTAACCCCCATCGTTTGTCATCAGATGAGGCCTTCTCTCCTACAGCTCAGCACCACAGCTCCCATGAATCTCAAACCCACTCTGAGGTCAGTGTGACGGCGGAGTGGATGAGCGGCACAAGCCCTCTTGTCCTTTTATGTGACGTTTACACCTCTTAGCCCCAATCGATACCTCCAGATGGCCTTGGTGCTGGTGTGCGCCCATGCTGTGGCCTTTGGCTCTGCCCTGGCCTCCCGCTACGCAAGCAGAGCAGTGGGGTGGCACAGGCTTGTCGAAGCCCAGAGACCCTGGGGAGACATAGACGAGCCCGGACTCGTCCACTGCTGAACTCTAATGCTCCTCTCTCTCTTTTTCCCCCTTCTGCCCTTCCCGCCATTTAGCAGTGCCCAGCAAGGGTTGTCAAGTCAGAACTACCTGCTCGTCATTAGCCACCGTGAAGCACAGAGAGATTACAACCTCAACTTCCCTGCCAGCAAAACCATCCAGGAGGTGAGACAACCGCACACCTGTCTGTCACCTAGCCCCTCTGTCTGTCTGTCTACACCTGCTGTCTGTCTGTCTCTCTGTCTCTCCACTGTGTTTCTGCCCGTGTTCTCTCAAGCTTTTTTTGGTGGGGCGTCAGTTTAATTATTACATGCTAAAATAATAGTCCTCATTGTGCTGGAAATGATTAAGGATGATGATTAAGGCCTGTGTTGAGCCAAAGCTAATTATCTCCCAGTCAAAGTTCTTCCTTTCCAGAATACCCATGGAACTGCTAACTTCAGGACTGCCTCAAAATGTCACAACTGTGTGTTTTGGGTGAACCTAAGTGTAAATTTTGTCATGTTACCAATACATTTAGAATGGGCCCATCATATACAGTTTCCTGTGATTAAGAGATTCACATTGTTTTGCATTTCGAGGCCAATTTTTTGCATGGTAATTTATTCAAAACAAATTTTATTTAGATCTACAAATATATATTGTACATATAGTACAACATTCAGATATTAAACTTAAATTTTATTTAGCATGCAGCACAATAAGACTTTGGAACATGAGTAGTATATTTAGTACAGTATTTTTGTTAGTTTTATTTTTAAATGTAAATCGTTGACACATTTTCCCTTTATTATACCACTTGATACAGATTTTTATTTGGGATATTGTATGTTTTCTTCTAATTTACATTGATAGCAGACATTCTGAAATATAACCATTTTTAAGTCTTTTTTCCCCCTCTTATTTCTTGTTGACTATTGTACAACTTGAGTAAAAATTATTACAGCTAAATTTCCCACTCTCCCATGTTCTGTGGAATGGAAATCTCTGAAATCTTGAGGGAGTAGGGGTTTTCTTATTTCCTCTTTCTGATAACATTATATTTTGTAGCAGGTAAGTTTAATATTCTCGAAGACTGTTGTCTGCTGTGCGTCTTTCTGCTCATCACATTGTCTCAGTATTGAGCAGCATAAACCCCCCTGTGGCTCATCAGCTCCTTTCCCTCTCCCATCAGACCTGTGCGATGCCATTCTTTTCATCACTTTTCTTTTAACTACACTGTGTTGTATTTAAGGTTGGTTTGTGTGGGACACAAAACCCAAACGCTCCATTCTGCATGCACACCGACCCCTCCCCGAGTCCCTCACATTCTCCTCAGCCTGCCCCAGTAACCTACACACAGCTTTCTGGAAATGGCTCCATTAATTATTCACAGCAGGTAGCACGCACCACGTCAAGTGTAACAAGCTCCCTGTGGACTGACAGCGCCACTTGAATCCCTCCTTCAGTGCTGGGGGAGTCATGTTGGGCCAGTGCAGTGCTGTTTTGAAGAAACAGACTGTGATGTTCTTTTTTTTAAAACTTGAGTTAACTTTTTAGATTCTTACTTTAAATCTGCACTCCAAAAACTCATATTATTAACATGGTTTTGTCTTATTTTCCATTTAAAATGTAGGAAAATCCTTGAAACAAAATCAGTTTAAGAAGCAACAATGGTTATACATTATTTTGAGGTGTCCTTGTTACAGTGTAATTGTACATTTAAGTACTGGGTAATATTAATTAACTACATGTACTTACTATATGGTTATGGTTAGAATTAGGGTTTGGCTTAGGGTTACTTGCATGTAATTATGCATAATTTATTGTTATTGTAATAGTAAGTACATGTAACAAAGACACCTTAAAACAAAGTGTTACCGCAACAATATATAAGATATTAAGACTTGTTTTCTGGGAAATTATCTTTATGTTTGAAAAGATTTTGTCTTCTTTTCTACTTAAGTTTTCTAAAAATCCTTGAAACAAGTTCAGTTTACTTGAGTGCCAACACTGCATAAGATATTAAGACTTGTTTTTACTACGGAATAGTCTTCATTATTAACAACAACAAAAAAAAACTTAAGATATTAAGATTTAGATAATATATTTAAGTTTTTTTTTTTCCTCTTTTGAAAGTCTGATAAGCTCGGTGCACCAAAGGCTCCATTTTGAAATTCCATTTATTTGTAAATATCAATTGTGAGAAGCACAAGGAATTTTGTAAGAAACTGTTTCAGAACATTCTTCCTTAAAGGAAAAGTACCATTAAAATTAAAACGATTTCCTTATTTACTGATCCTCTTGTTTAATTTTTGAGTAAGCGCTTCCTTTAGTAGTTCATACATTTCATACTCTATATACTTTTAAGTCAGAATTAGTTCTTTTGTTTTTAACTAAAGAACTGATTTTCCCCACCTCAGCTTTGTCCACGCAATCCCAGAATCCCTTTCCCGGCGAAACTGCCGCCTTGATGGCGCTGGTCACCATTACAGTAATCAGACTACTTGACAGGTTTGTAATGGTGCTAATTGAAGAGATTAAAGTGAGATGGGTGAGCGCTCTCTTTCCCTCAGCAGATGGTTTTGATGAGCACCTACTGTGAACCTTAAGTGTTGCTGCCGGGATTACAACAACTGGAGAGTAGAGCCCGCAGGGTAGAGAAAAGAGAAGCAGGAAGCGAAGCTGTTGGCTTGGTAGGGGAGCGAGTGACTGGACAAAGCTGAATCAAACGGGCCGCTGTGGCCCCGATTGGCTTGATCCTCAGGCATTCTGTTTCTTTCTTCCTAAGATGGAGAACGAGGGGAAGAGGGAGAAGATTTGTTTTCTAAGCAGAAACAAATTGCGTGCGATACGAACGTTTTTTGTAAGAGAACACCTTATTGGTTGCACGTCTCTCTGTCAGAGTTGGTTTAGTTAGCTGGAGAGTTCATTAGTTACTTTGGCTCCACAGGAAGAGTTTCCCTCTTTTGGGATGGGAAATTTGTGCCCGAAAATGCCAGAAAATAAACATGTGAACGTGAAACAAAAGCTCAGCGGGATCCAACGCGTTTCTTCACAAACGTCTCGTTGAGAAAAAGTTACTAACATGTGAGGAAGGTTTTTGTTTTACAGTTGGGGCCCTAAAACTGAAGGCCTGTGTGAAAATGCAACAAAACAGCAACAGAGAGCTCTCACAGTCTCCCCTCTCTCTTATTTTCCCCATTCACCCCCTCACAGCCACATATGGAGAGGACTCCTCTCTAGCCTTTCTTTTTCTGCTCATCTTTTGTCTTTGCTGAAGACCAGCCGATGCTTTTCTGCATGTGCATATCAATAGGAGCAGCAAAAGAGAGAGAGAAGAGAGTCCCTCAGTGATGTCCCGTTGTTTGTCTTTGCCAAAGGCTCTCGCTCTGCCTCCAGGCTCCCAGGGAACGTACCCTTCCACTATTCGGCCCCGGGCCCTGCTCTCCTCCTCTGATTGGCATTCCCAAACCCGAGTTCGGGGCTACGCTTAAGCCTCAGAGCAAATGTTTGTCAGGAAAGTGGCAGGGAGAATAGGGCCGTCCGATAGGGCTCTGTCGTCCGTGACCAGACGACTCGTCCCAGGGATTTTTGCCTGCCCCACAGTGTTTCTCTCCGCAGCTGGAGAGATGAACGCAGAGGAAGAAAAGAAGGATGGAGCGTAAAAGAGTGTGAATAAAAGGCATCTGGTGCTGAAGAGCTTGTGACTGTTTAATGGCAACCTTTTCTTCTCTTTGATTTCTCTCCAGTCAAGGATTACCAGTACTTGGCATTTAGAAAGATTGGATCATTAATGTGCATGTGTGTGCGCGCGCGCATGTTTGTCTGGGAGAGCGTACGTGTTTGTTGACTTCGAAGTCTTTTAATTTTGTATGATTTTTTTTGAGCACTTTAATCTTTTTTTTTTTATCTGAAGATATTAATGACATTACTGAATTTACTAAAATGTTCTAGATTGTTTAATTGGTAATTAAATTAGGTTTTTTATTATATATACATATAAAAGATTAGATTAATTTTCAAATTGAACTCTGCAGTTTAGGTTCTGTCAGTAAGGGGGCAGCAATACACAGATGCCTTTCAATTTCTTTGTATCTCAAATACTGTTCTTTATCTTTGTAAATTTTGTGCAGTCCATCTTCTAAGCGGGATTTTTTGACACCATGGAATTGTTTGTTCTGAGGATGATAAATAATTATATAATTGATCTTATATGACAACCACACTGGAGAATATATGAATAAAAGAAAACCTTTTTAAATGAAAGGCGCTGTTAAATGTAGTCCTTAAGAATATAATCCCGGCAGCTGAAATGTCTTTATCCATGAGATCTTCCCGCATTTTCTGATATAATGTCAACATTTTCTGCTTTTTTTCCTCTTCCTTTTCACAGTGGATGTCTGTTCCCTGATGCTAAAACTCTATTGTGACATTTAAAATGAAATGTCAGAAGAATTGGGTTTAATAGGACTGAGTCTTTTCCTTCGTTGTTTAATCAAACCTCATTGTTCCTTATGGGCAGCAGTTTGTGCAAGACAGAACAAATGTCAGCCGTTACCGAACATCTTCAAACTCTCTTTACTTTCTCTCAGAAATCAGTGGTAAATAAACTTGTTATTCGGTGGATTTGTTTGTTTATCCTTCACGTGTTTTTCTCTCATTTAGTTGGGTAATGTTGGCTTTAATTTACAGACCCCTGACTGCTAAGAGGAGGAATTCGTAGCTCATGAATAGGTAATGACACTTGTGTTTGTGAATATTGCAGCAGGATGGGGCTTTCTCCTTTTAAGTCAATTATAATTCACAGTAGTTGCAGAAAAAGCCCCTCACTCAACAAGTCACCTCTGATAAATGAACTTTTATGCCATCTTTTTTCACTGACAGGTTTGCAGTGTGGTTTTATTTGCTATTTTCTTTTCTTATTCTCCAAGAGCGTTTTGAATTCACCTTTCAATATAGCTAAATCGGTTTTGTCGTCAAATAACAGTGAATAGCTTATCTTTGGATGTTTGTCAAGATGGGATGAAGTCTGGCTGAAGTACCGAGTGGTATAGGTATATTGACAGTAGGGCAGTGCTCATAAAAAAGGCCCAATGAAGTAAAGCGGTGAAATATCAGATTCTCGCAGAGGGCCGATTTGTTATAGCAGCTAAATGCTTCTGACTGACCCTCGATGATGGCGTTACTTTCTACTTTCTCCTGGGCTGTGGTGCCATTTGACCCTAAACGGTTCATTACAGCCAAGAGCTGGTGTTTACGGCAGCCTGCCGGTCAGGCCTGGGCGGCCAAATCCCTGTAGCCCTCTGGTCAAACACAGATATTACACTCTGTAATAACATTGGCCAACCCAGCTGACCCTTGCTCGCTTCAATAAGAAAAACGCACAGCCCAGTGTGTGGGCTTGTTGATGTTTGAGAGTGTGTGTGTGTGTGATGGTAGAGTCTCCGACTTCAGCCGACCAAGGTGATGTCGTCAATATCTGAATTTGTTTCCCTTTATTGAGTTTGTGCCTGACCAAAATGGTCAGGAAGCTCACTTTAGCCATGGTTCTTTATATGTCTATATTACTGAAACATAAAAAAGAAACTTTTCTATCTGTATGGAAAGCCTTTAAATCATCCTTGTATCCTTGCATCCTAAAAATCCTCTATAAATTAATGCAGTGGTCTTAAATTGTTTTGCTTCAGAACACAGATTTTACATTTTGTAGGTTGTAAAACAATAAAAATAAAAAATTGGAGTAGACTGTTTTACAAGAAAATACTTTCATTTTTTTCTACTTCAAAGTTTCATGTTTAATTTAATGTGTTACTTGCTGTTTTATTGTGATTTTGTAACATTTATTAGCAGTCACTGAGTGAAAATCGTTTCTACCTATTTTTTTTAGTTGACCAAAATTGATCATGAGTCAACAAATGCCTTTGTAATTAAATCCAGTTATTATTATTATCATGAACTGAAAGCCCAACAATATGCGTAATTATTGACATGACATAGGATAAGCATTAATCACATAAGAGTATTAATCATTTTAATTTCTGAAGTCTTGAAAAAATATAAAAGTATATAAAATCAGCTGACAGGTAATGTCACAACCCTCCGGTTAAGAACCTCTTTATTATTCCATCCATAAATATTCATATTGTTAGTGGTTATATTTTGTCAACAGAAAGGTAATGATTGTATCTGTTAATGAATTCTTAACCCTTAAATCTCTTTCAACCCTGCTTCATGTCCTTTGTTTTCACAAGCATCTTGCAGCCATCGTTTCTGCCTCTGTGGGCACGAGTCCTCAGTCTGGCAGAGGATACATGTCCACTCAGTGTGCTGGCGGTGGGATTTGGCCATGCGCTATGAGGGCTTTCTGCCACAATGGCTAGTTTTCTCTGCCTCTGTATCTAGCGCCGCAGGGTAGTGCATTCTCTGGGGATAATGCACTAGAATCTGCGGCCCATCCAGCTTTGGGCGACGCCTGCTTTGATCACCCCCATCCTCCGCACATCAGCTTGGCGTTAGGCTTTAAACCAACAGCGGCATAGGAGCAGGGGTCAGCATCAACTGTTTAAATGCACGCAATGTTATTAAGTGCAGTTACACAGGGGTGAATAGCAGAAGGGAAATACTGTCCATTTTTCGAGTGAAGGGCTGTTGGCATTGGGTATTAGGACAGGCATCTGTGGAATTTTTTAGAACACGGAGCTCTTTTCCACTACTTGCCTTGTCTCCCTCCCATCACAGTCACTTATATCTTAGTGAAAATAGTAGGTACACTTCGTCTTCTGATAGTGTCTAAACAAAGTGTTGTCTGGTAGTGTTTGTGAAATAAACTTGAATGTGTTTGTGGATTGTGTTGTGTTCTTGTATCTGTTATCTAATATTTTTGTATGTTTATGTCTCAGGTGAAAAGGAACATTTCAGACCTGACAAACATCCCTGTGCGGCATCAACAGTGGGACGGCTGGCCTGCCTCTGCCTCAGATGACTCGGTATGTTTTTTACTCTCTCTTTGTTTTTTTTTAACCCTGTGACAATTGTGCACCTGCCTTTTGCTCCAGTTTAAATAAAACTGCCCAGATTTAATAATTATAATATAGAGAACAAGTTGTAAATTAAGATTAATAGAAGTGTCACTAACTATATACTTATATAGCTTCCATATATATAAATTAAACTTAAAAAAATTAAACTTAAAAAAAGAGATTTTACCTACCTCGATGACAAAGATAGCCTTCTTGTTGGTCACTTGGTTTTGTCAAGACTCTGATATCCCTTCCCACAGCAAAATCTCACTGGCCCCAAATCCTGCACTGCATAACTCTAACTTCAAATATGTTTTGCTTTTCTATAATTGTTGCATTTTTACTTTGTGTGAAATGACAAATTACATGACAAAAAATTGTGCCTTAGGAGTGGAAGAAAACATGTTTCTTATAGAAGTTTAGACAAATTGAATATAATAATTTCTTCTTTTCTGTAGTGGTTTAAGTATCACCCAATGTGAAAGTAAGATGTTGGTACTAATTAAGATGTCACACAGCAGCTCCTCTCCCTTGTCCTCTCTGTGTGGACATTACAGCTCATGTAGTGGGGGGTCAGTGACCTTTCTCGCCCAGTACGACTCGTTCACAGTCATCAGAGAGGGCCCTAACACCGAATCCTGAGGAACCCCACCTCCCAGCTTAGACATCCATGATAAGCATCTGTACAATAACCATAGGAACTTTTTCTTTACTTATCACTAGTCATTATGCAACTGACCAGTTAAGCATGGAAATTGCCCTTGTGTTTTTAACCATGTGTTTCTTAGGTGCTTGTCATTGTGTCTTCATTTGCTGTCAGGTGCCTAATTTCGGGCAAGTACGATTTCAAAGGGAGTGGCCTGATGAACAAACCTGTTTTGTGAGCACTGTTTGTTTCAGGTGTTGAAAGTCCCCCCCTCAACTTCCATATTTAGGTTAGGTTAGGTTAGGTACACTTTATTGTCCCTGAGGGAAATTTGTCTTAGGCTCAGAAACTTGTCTCCCTCCCATCACAGTCACTTATATCTTAGTGAAAATAGTAGGTACACTTCGTCTTCTGATAGTGTCTAAACAAAGTGTTGTCTGGTAGTGTTTGTGAAATAAACTTGAATGTGTTTGTGGATTGTGTTGTGTTCTTGTATCTGTTATCTAATATTTTTGTATGTTTATGTCTCAGGTGAAAAGGAACATTTCAGACCTGACAAACATCCCTGTGCGGCATCAACAGTGGGACGGCTGGCCTGCCTCTGCCTCAGATGACTCGGTATGTTTTTTACTCTCTCTTTGTTTTTTTTTAACCCTGTGACAATTGTGCACCTGCCTTTTGCTCCAGTTTAAATAAAACTGCCCAGATTTAATAATTATAATATAGAGAACAAGTTGTAAATTAAGATTAATAGAAGTGTCACTAACTATATACTTATATAGCTTCCATATATATAAATTAAACTTAAAAAAATTAAACTTAAAAAAAGAGATTTTACCTACCTCGATGACAAAGATAGCCTTCTTGTTGGTCACTTGGTTTTGTCAAGACTCTGATATCCCTTCCCACAGCAAAATCTCACTGGCCCCAAATCCTGCACTGCATAACTCTAACTTCAAATATGTTTTGCTTTTCTATAATTGTTGCATTTTTACTTTGTGTGAAATGACAAATTACATGACAAAAAATTGTGCCTTAGGAGTGGAAGAAAACATGTTTCTTATAGAAGTTTAGACAAATTGAATATAATAATTTCTTCTTTTCTGTAGTGGTTTAAGTATCACCCAATGTGAAAGTAAGATGTTGGTACTAATTAAGATGTCACACAGCAGCTCCTCTCCCTTGTCCTCTCTGTGTGGACATTACAGCTCATGTAGTGGGGGGTCAGTGACCTTTCTCGCCCAGTACGACTCGTTCACAGTCATCAGAGAGGGCCCTAACACCGAATCCTGAGGAACCCCACCTCCCAGCTTAGACATCCATGATAAGCATCTGTACAATAACCATAGGAACTTTTTCTTTACTTATCACTAGTCATTATGCAACTGACCAGTTAAGCATGGAAATTGCCCTTGTGTTTTTAACCATGTGTTTCTTAGGTGCTTGTCATTGTGTCTTCATTTGCTGTCAGGTGCCTAATTTCGGGCAAGTACGATTTCAAAGGGAGTGGCCTGATGAACAAACCTGTTTTGTGAGCACTGTTTGTTTCAGGTGTTGAAAGTCCCCCCCTCAACTTCCATATTTAGGTTAGGTTAGGTTAGGTACACTTTATTGTCCCTGAGGGAAATTTGTCTTAGGCTCAGAAATACAACCACCACATCACATACAACACATAGTAGTAAAGGGAAAAATATATATATATATATAAATAAATAAATAAAATTAAGATAGTTAATTATTGTATGCATATATTTACATACATACATATATATACACATACACATACATATATATATATATATATATATATATATATACATACACATGCACATACATACATACATACATACATACACAACACAACACAACACAGCAAAACATACCATTTAAACAATAAAATAAATAAACAATCAATAAAACAACAATGCTTCCGAATTCCCTCGGTAGATAAAAGGGTCTCATTTTTAAGCACAAGACTTCAACATCGGGGCAGCAGAATGTGTCCTTGATTGTGTACTGTTTACACCAGTTGTTACTCACGTACACAGCTATACCACCGCCTCTGTATTTCCCCGATTGCACACTTCTATCCGCCCGCACAAGCGTAAATCCTTCCAACTCCATGGCCGTGTCGGGGATATCCTGATGAAGCCATGTTTCCGTAAACACCATCAAACTTGAAGTGCGGTACTCAAAACATGCTTTGGAGATCGCACGAAGTTCTCCCATCTTTCCATGCAGAGATCTAGCATTACACAGAATCATTGACGGTAAGGGTGGTCTACTCCCTCGTCGTCGAAGACGCTGCCGTATTCCGCCCCTCCGGCCTCTTTTCCTTTGCCTTCTATTTCGCTCAGGTTGCACCCTCACGCAGGTAGGTAGGTTCGGTGGAGATAGTCCCATGTGGCGAAGCGCGAGCAAAGTATCTCGGGTATAGCTAATAGGCGTCCATGTTTCCACACCTGCATATACCGTGCACTGCGCCAAGTATCCCCATATGACTGTTACTAGACAGGCAAGTTGGACGATATTCGCCATATGAGCGTCGGATTCGTCACTATAAGATAAAATAACAATAAAATAAATAAAAACAGAACAAAGTACGAACAGACTGATGTAGTGGAGCACGAGCCCGGGTCGCAAGCAGAGCAGCGCCACCGGGACAAATTTGCATTGTCATCTTTCAAAAGAGTAAAATGTATCTGACTGCTTTTTTTTTCTGAAGCTATTAAGATGGTTTTGGTTACCACTATTAAAAGAACAAAATAAAACATAAAACCCTCTGACTACTTAGTATTTGAGAGTACCAGAACAAAAGATTATGACCCCATTGTCAATAGCTTTATGAGCAGTGTTTCACAGAGCTCTTTAACAATGACAGCATTGTTTATTTTCAGTGTGCGTTTGTAAGGCTCATGTATCTCACCCATTGCATTTAGCTCATATTGCTAAAAGGGTGGTTGGAGACATCGTTTCGTCCTTTAGCGAAAAGCACAACAGACACAAGGTCACTGAATTACACCCTCTCACCACAGACTGCCCACTTGAGTCAGGCCACTTCAGGGCTGAAGTGCACTCACCGAAGACCTCAACCCACAATCTTGTTTTTTTTTTTTTATGAAGAGGGCACTGCTCATGAATACTCTTTAAGGCACATTTAACCGTTAATGCCCAAGCAGTGATTGGTTATATGTGGTCGTCATGCACTTGGCCACAGACCAGCTTTTCACCTCAACTCGTCTTGGCTTATAGGGAGAGACATATTATTAAAGCACCAGTCTTAATAATGGCCCCCGGCCCTTATTGAAATGCCTAGCCGTGCATTAGACGCAAAGCTCTCGCATGGCAGGCAGGCCGTTTTTTGCGCGTATCTCATTAACCTTCCCTCATCTCCCGGGATTTGTACCAATAAACATGACAGCCCAGGCTTAGAAATACATTTACCAGCAATCTGAGTCAATGCCTACTCCGCTGTGCTTTCATTACCCTTGGCTTGCTCATATACAGCGAGCGAGTCTCTCTGTGCTCCGTTCCAGCTCATAAGGGTGAAAAATGGAAAACTGATCAGTAGTCAGTTTACATTTCGCCAACTGAGCTTTTAAGCATATTGGTTTTGAAGGAGCTAGTGACAGGTTTGTTTGTTTAGTTTTTTTTTTCTTGTACTGTTGAAATGGATTGAACTTAATATAGTAATCAGTTTCAGAGGGAAGTCAGAACGTATACTTGGCTATCAGTGCATCTTCTGTATTTGTGTTTTGTTTTACTGTCAGAGAGTCAAATTAAGAAAATATGGTTTGATTTTGATCCATTCATGCAGTGAAACTGTTTAACCAGTTAACATTTAAACAGTGAGGTTGTTTTAACTGGATTTGTGATTAGCATTGTAAATTTGTCTCCGGGGAGAAAGGGATTACAATGTAAAAATCAGCGTACCTTCTTATGCCTTTTGAATCTGGGGGTGGATCTTAGTGGTTGTCTTGACGTCCCTATGCAGTGTCTGTAAATTCAAAGGAGGCTGTTTACCATAATAATGTTTTAGCCCTTGTTTGTTTGAGTGGGTGTAGTCGGGATGCGTGTGGTGTGTTTGAGGGGCTGACACAGGCTTCTTCATATGGCAGGCCACTTGAGGACTGCTGTTTGCAGGCTGTGTTTGGCATTAACCACCCAAACTTTGATATCTTTTCTGCCCGAACTTGGGCTGCACTACATTTTTTGTTGAATCCTACTGTGTCCTGGAGATTTTCGATGATTTATGTAAATAATGCCAGTTCATAATTTTGTTTTATTAGTGAAGATTTATTTCATGGCTTATGTAACTATAGTAATCTGAAAAAAATGTATTGTGTTCAAGATTGATTGACTGTGCACTGTTCCCTTGACGTTATTATTAAAAATGTCCCAGCGTCAAATTGTAGCTCAAGTTCTTGTTTATTTTATTTGTTCTCTTAATTTAGGCTCCTAATTGGTCCATTTCCCACCTCTGAGTTCCCTTTCTCACACACACACATCCTGAGCCAAAACTCTTTTGAGCTCTTTTCATATTTCACTGCCAACCTCTTGGAGCACCTATGGGAATGATTGACAACTTCTGGAACGTCCTTATTAGAGTCTTTTCCCCCTTAATTGCTGACATTTATCCAGTGTTTCTTGGTGTTTGCTAATGTATTACTGCTGCTGCTCTCTGAGGGTCTCCGTGGCCCACGGCTGTTATGGGCTTTCAGCGTCACAGACCTGCGGAGGCGGCTTATTGGGCCCGCTGGTTGCCGTAGCAACGAGGCTCAGCTCTAAGCCCGTACAGAGCCCCTTGTGAGATTGCTGTCTGCAGGTGAAGTTTTCGAGAGAGAGGTATATACACTCTTATATTGCCAATCTTCTGTCTTCAGAATGTCCACTCCCTGTCCCTTACTGGGGCCGACTGACATAAATCATGCTTTACATGTTTAGATCAACACCCTGCTGACTATGCCGGTGTCATATTTAGCAGTGGGTAGTGGTGATCTGTCATATGCAGGTGAAATGGATCTGTAATGGTTGATTTAGAAATGGAGGGTTTTTTCATTCATCTCTGTTTTAGTTTTAGTTTTTCACACTGCATGATTTGGAAACTATTTTAATTTAGAAAACTGTAAATAAACATAAATTTTTTAAATGTTTTTAATTAATTTAGTAATTATTATTTGTATTATTTTAAAGTTATATATATAAAAGTGTATGTACGTACGTATATGCACACACATTTATGTAAGTAAATACAAAAAAATAAATAAATAAGTAAACCTAATGCATATAAATTTATCACCAGCTTTGATTTATTATTATTTTTTTATTAAAGTTTGGACATGTCAGTTACTATTTTTTTAGATGAAGTATTTCAAATAATATTCTGTGTTAAAGTATCACTATTTTGACACTGAGTTTTGCACTACAGAATTATAACATTTTATTATTGTAAGATGCATTTGCTGTTGTCTGCCATCCGGCATCCGGAAAATCGTAGCAGTTACAGATTACACCTTAAACAGGTGAAAACAAAACATCGCCTGGCCTATTCACACTTTTTTTTTCTCGAAGGGCTTAGTTCTGAAAGGTTCACTGGACATTTTAAACACTGTATTTGACCCTAGATCTTAATCAAGACTGACACCTCTTCAAACCCCAACCTGAAAGAGTCCAACAGGTGTTTAGGGTGGGGCTTCTTATTTTTCTTTTCTTTTCTGGTCTCCACACACTCTCACTTTTTCCGCTCTCTGTAGCTCTCTTGTCCTCATCTATCAAAGAAGGCAGACACAAGGTGCAGCTTGGGGCTTTCGGACGACTAGAGCAGCTGTCAGCAGTAATTATCTCCTTCACAGCCTGAGCGATGGAGAATGACAACAAATAGATGAAAACAACCAAGAGGAGAAGTAAAAGTTGGCCAAAGAAATAAGTTTAGTTGATAGTAGATGGAGAAGTCCTCTAAGATGAGAACAGAGAAAAATAAATGGAATTCCTCTTTTGCATGGTGCTGAGTGCTAGGGGCTTTAATGCAAGTGTTAATGAAAGGGGTCCAAAAGAGGAGGATTTTGTTCTTTGTTTGGAGTTGGAGAGGGAGGTGTGGAAAGATGAGGGGGTGACCTCTCCCCTGTAGCCTGCGGCTCTGAACACGCACACACTTGAACACTCAGACACACTCATACCGCTAGGCAATGGGGTCAGAACATGGAAGTTTCACGACTTACCTGTGACTTTAAGTGCCCTAATTCTACCCTGCTTCACGTGTTAAATCATGGAAAACAGGATTTACCTTGTTAGATAACATTTATTTACTATGTAGATGTACTGTAATATTTACATTCCTGAGTATTTATGAGAACTAAACTGAAAAAAATATATCATTGTGAGCACATTAAAGGGATAATTCACCTAAACATGAAAATTCATGCTTATTTAATGTAATTAAAAACCTTTGACTTACTTTATTTTGTATAGATTATTTTTTTGTTTAATAAAAAGTAATTCGAGATCAGGGTTCTTTTGAATTCAGAGACTATGAAAATGTCATAGGTTTAAAACAACATGAGCTTGAGTAAATGATGACAGAAATTTCATTTTTGGGTGAACTATCCTTAAATATTCCAAACTAACCATTTGGATATCAACATCTATTCAGGATTAGACAACTTTACCAACCCAGTGATCCTACCTGGTATGTGGAGGTTTGCATAACAAAGGTCATTTACATATAGAAGTCTTTAATATTTAGTGGCACAGGTTACCCTCTCTTCCCAATGATTTCTACATTTTCTCTGGCCTCCAACACTCTGATCCTCCTGCAAAAAAAGAACATGTCTGATGTTTGGACAGTGCTTTTGTTTGTGTCACCCAACAGTACTGTACATTGTCTCTCTGTATACAGACAGTCTGTCTTTAATTAGTCCTTGTAGAAGAGAAACACTGTGATTCTTCTCTCTGTGTGGGCCATCACAAAGAAAGAGAGAGTGTCTTGTGTGTTTGTGTGTTTTGGGGGAGTTAGCGCCCTGTTGAGGTACTTGACACTGAAATCCTCTCGGAGTTGCATTATGGGATATTATGGTGCTTAAACCAAAGCTTCTTTACACTTTATCTGTTATGTCTGTTAATCAATACCAAGACGTGACATGCAATTTGTTTTGAGTTCCACCTAATGATGCAATTCATCAGTAGATCTAAAATTGAAGAACCAATAACTTAAGTAGGTGATAAACTGGTATAAATATAGCTTGAATTGAACCAAAAATCTCTCTAGAACACATGAAAGTAAAAGAGCACAAGAGCCCCCTGCAGTCAGGTATCCATTTTCTCTTTGTCTCCTTGTATTTTAGTTTCTTCTGATGTGTCTGTTTTGCTACTTTAGGCAGGTTTAAGACAGGCTAAGAGCTGAAAAATGTTTATCATTACTGTTGGTATAAAGTATAGACCGCTGTGGTCATTTAGGTATTGAAAATTAATATGTAAAAACAGACTGTGATTATAGTGTGTAATTGGTAATGTCAGGTAAGAGTCGAGAGAATAGACCTCTGTCGGAGTTATGAGTGTGTGTGTGTGTGTGTGTGTATGTGTGTATGTGTGTATGGGGCTGGTCTGTAATGAGTCCCTGTAGTGTGGAGTGCTGCTGACATTTCCACTCTAGCCTGAGAGTTAATGAGGTACTCAGGCCTTCACCAGCAGCTCACCGTATGCTGTATGTGATGCTCTTTAGAGTGCCAAACAGATAGTACCTCTATCATGAGCCAGAGAAACCCTATGTAGATGAATACCGATGGTCTCTGCAAACTTTACTGGGAAATGCTATCTTAAAGGAATAGTTCACCCAATAATTCTATCATTGCTGGCTCCTTATGATGTTCCAAACTCAAAATGATAACTTTGTAAACGTTAGCTATGATGACTTTCCCTTAACAAAAAGACGTGTTTCATTTTACACACAACAAAAAGGTTGGGAAAACAATGCTAAAATGTCTAATAAATACATTTTTTGATTGCACAGATGACTCTGGCCTCCAGTGGAATCAGTTACCCCTGCCACCACCTGACTGTGTGCAGAAGATCTTCCCCTGCGCTCACGGTGGATCAGACAGACGAGGTAAAGCAGAACACACATCAACACCACTACAATGCACAAACAGTGTCAAAGCTGCTGTCGTTTACCTGTAGATGAGAACCATAAAGAAGTTCTGTTTCTCTCATAATTTTTACATTTATATATTTCATTTTTGCTGTTTTTGTTTTTTAATTTTTCAACATATGGAAAGCCAGCATGTGATGCCAGTTTTGGCAATTCTAATGTTTTGTGGGATTTTTAATTAGACTGCTCCGCTCAGCCAAAATGGATAAATGATTGCCATTTTTATCTTTACTGAGAAACTCGTTTTTGGAATAGAAATGCAGTCCCCCTCTGAATTGATGAAATCATTTGTAGTGGGCACAGGGATCGCTGTTGAGTTGCCAGGCGTAACACTGCAGCCAGACTTGCCCCTGTGTTTCAAGTCTGATGGCAACCTTTCAACAGATTGGCAACTATTACATTCTCCGCACCATTCATATTAGGGTTGGTCCCCAATGTAGAATTAAAATGGGAGCTATTTTATGAACTATTATACTTTTATATGGAATTGTAATTGGGCGGTCACTAATATAGGCATTGTTGGCTGACTCTAATAGCTATTTCTGTTGTTATTGCCAGGATTATAAATCTTTTGTTTGTTTTTTTGCTTTAGTTCCCCCCCCCCCCCCGATTATAGACACAAATACCTCTCAGTGAAATTAGGATTCGAAATTAGATTTTGATATACAGTAGAAAAGATTTATTGAAGTTTTAGAACCTCTCATAGAAACAAATCTTTAAGAGGCCTTTTATGGTTGAATTAATATTCAGTTTATTTATTTAAAAAAATTGTTTATAATTGGTAATTTTTTGTATACATAGTTATATATACAAAATTTTGTTTTGTATATGTACAAAACGCCCAATTATTATTATTTTTTTTACGTAATAATAGGTTTCGATATTATTGTCATCTTAAATATATTAGCCTAATCTAGGGATTGGCAAATTTAGTCATTCATGCCACAGTTGACACTGAAGCAGTGTAGAGTGAGAGAGAGATTAGTTTTATTTATTTATTTTAAAAATGTTCAAGTTCCTACGTTTTGGATTAGATCCCCATTGGTGTGATCACAGATAAATTGTGCATCTCTAGTTTTGTCACAATAAAATTTTTTTTTATTTTTTTTATTTGTATTTTTTAAGAAATTGCCTTTGTGTCTGTGTTACAGTGCACAGATGTTCACATGGTCAGTGACAGTGAGGGAGAGGATTTAGAGGATGCACCTGAGTTTGGTGTAGATGAATCTGAAATCTTTGGCATGGGAAGCTCAAGTTGTCGAAAGTCTCCGATGAGTAAGTTATACTGTGTCATTTCATCTGGGGTTGACCATGAAGGAATGGTGTTTACTGGATTATCTGTATTGATATATTCCTTCATCTTCCCTCAGTGCCAGAGAACAGTGAAAATGAGGGTGATGCCTTACTGCACTTTACTGCTGAATTTTCTAGAAGGTGAGATCCCTGGACAAAGTAACATTTCTAATCCAATTTCACTAAAGAAAACCAAACATAAACTGCATTTCTTTGAAGCTCAGTATGCGGTGTCTTGTGCACATTTTTTTCAGCACTGCTGATTTTGAATAAGATGTTTTTAATATTTGAAAATAGCTGCTCTGATATTTGGTATTTGCTTATTTGTGTGTGATATTTGCTCAGTTTGTGCATGTATGTTTTGTAGATATGGCGATTGCCATCCTGTGTTCTACATCGGCTCCTTGGAAGCAGCATCTCAAGAGGCCTTCTATGGCAAAGCCAGAGATGTGAGTATAACCTCCATAATTTACCAATTAATAAATGTGTAATTTATATCATGATTTTATTTAAATTTATTTTTTTATGGAATAATTTACTTTTTTATTATAAGTGATTTATTTTATTTTATTTTAATATTATTAATGGTGACAGTCGGAGGTGGTACTGGAAATGATTGGGAAAACAGTGGGTGGTGGGATCAGGAAATAACCAGAGCTAGATTCCAGAAACCTACGTTGCCCACATATAAGCATATGCACTACCAGGTCACGTCTCTAACATTTCTTTTGAAAGTCATATGCTCAGGTATATAAACAACGCTAAGTGTTTGATTGGCAGAACTGCCCCCCCATCATGATAAATCCCCATCAAATTTCCGTTTCCCATTTGAACAGCTGAAGCTTTATTTAGAACAGCTTTGCGCTGGTTTTCCCGCTGTGTCCTCATAAGGAGGCTTGTATCAACTGACAGCTTGTGTGGATTACGGTCTTATTAGACTGGGAGGATGCAGCAAGATGTTCAGGGGGTTTTTGAGCATGAGGAGCGGGCTGGAATGGCTTCCTGCCTGCAGCCCAGCTGATCTCCTCCTCTACTCAGCACAGGCGCAATATGGCCGCCGCTCTCCCCCGAGGAGACAGTTCAGTGTGTCAGTAAAAACAAACTAATGTAAGAAGAAGAGATGACCTTCTGTGTTCCTCTCTTGCAGACAGTCAGTGTTTTTCTTCACGGGTCATACATTTTCACTCTTTTATCCATGTGCGCTTCTCTAGTATGCAATTTGCAGTTGCTCTCCTTTTGGGCTTCAGCCAGAGGATTTATCTTTAGGAAGGATTTAACAGGACATATTTAAGGTATGCGTCATTAAAAAGTATTTTTGAGTAAAAATGATGAAAGATGAATAGAAAATTCAAAAAATGGATCAGCGTGAACTGGAATGTTGTTCTGGTACAACAAAGTCCCAAATGACTTATGAAAATATGGTAACACTTTATTTTAAGGTCTCTTAATTAGTTGCTTATTAGCATGCATATTACTAGAATATTAGCCATTTATTAGTAGTAATTAAGCACATATTAATGCCTTATTCTACATGACCTTATTCTGCATCCCTAATCCTACCCAATACCTAAATTTAACAACTACCTTACTAACTATTAATAAGCAGCAAATTAGGAATTTATTGAGGGAAAAGTCGTAGTTAATAGTGAATAAGTGTTCCTTATTCTAAAGTGTTACCGAAAATATTTTTAGCGTATTGTACGATAAACACTACATTGTGGTATTAGTTAATTATGACATAACTTGTTTGATTGTGAGAATATGAGAGATGGACCAAGGGGAAGCCACCCCCAGATGAAGATTTTTTAAGAGATTAAAATTAAGAGCGCCAACTAATTTTTAGTGTCCAAATTAAACGGAATAAAAAACCTTGCATTGATTTGCATTGACGTTAAAGTGGAAGCCAAACAATTAGAATATAATAATAATAATACTTTTGTTATTATTATTATTATTATCCATAAGACAGTAATATATTGCTATTGTAATAAAACTGCACTGTAAAATAAATGTAAATGAACAATACATTTCATTAGAATTTCATAAAACGTATATATTTTTTATTTTGTCTTAATATCGTCACTTGTAGGCTTTTATTTTGGTGGAAAATTGCAGTTTCAGTGAACATAGGTTTACAACAGGTCTATTAACAAATCTTGTGAAATGCTTTAATCATATGACCACAAATATGTTGGAAATTATGCAAATGTGAAAGTAATGCATAACTGGTGCCCGTTGCATTCCCAAATGCATGTTAAACTCACAGCACATGCACTGTGAAGTAAAAACATCAGATCACGAGCTGATCATGTGCACACTTCTCTTTCAAACGTGCTGTGCAACAGACTATATATTTAATTAAATAACTTATTTTTATTTTGGTTTCATTGACAGATGCATTGTCAAAGCAATAGTGCAAAATGTGTTATTTAATTATCAAAAGTGTACAAAATATTTTCAATACAAAACTGTGGCAGGACAGATTAGATTGTGGCAGGCAATTAATCTAAAGTCTAGGCAGGGAATGGGAAACACTGATTAAATTTCTGCACACCAACATCACCATATTGAACTGCAAAAACAAAGACTAGTAAAATAGGATTCTCAAAGGGAAGCATTCAAGAACCCCATTTCAAACTGCTCAGGCCATTGCTCGAGCCACTGTGCTCACCACCTTTCAGTCAGCCGGTCTTCTCGTTACATGTAGGTTTTTTAGCCACGACTGTGTACATTTCATTTGCACGTGTGCATGTGTGTGATGGATTTTTTGAGGGCACTTGTGCCCCTCTCTCATAGGCCTGAGAGGCTAATCACTAAGTAAAACACTACATGTGATGAAGTGTTTCTGGAGTGGGAGATGCTCCCAATCCATCCTTAATGAAAATGCTGGAGGCCCTGGAGTTCCTCCGGAGGATCAGAGGAAGACTCTTGAGTCAGGCCACCCATCAGCACAGGCCTTATCACAAATCCCCTTAACATCCAGCTAATCAAGCTAACCCTCCTCTGCCACACGCACAAAGACGGCCATCAAAATTCATAGCTCCTTCGCGCCCTTCATGGATTTTTCGTGTATGAGTTTCATAGAGGAGCCTCTGTGACGAAGTGATTTTTCAGTCCGTGAGAAAAGAGATACAGAGAGATGAGTTTTCTGACACCCGAAAGACTTGTTATTGACAGTGCTGTTCTAACAGGAGGACTGATGAAAATTGACTCTTGTCTATATACACTGATCAAAATAATTTATTGATGTGTCAGTCGTGCACATCCACAGGAGAAGTAACAATGTCAGTCGTGCACATCCACAGGAGAAGTAACAATGTCTGATTCATGAGCGACTCGTTCTTGTGAGGCAAATGATCCTAATGTTTCACAGCACACTGGAGAGGAAGATTATAATCGCTGTTATAATTGAATAAATACAAATTACTTGCATATTATTCTGTTTGTTTCATAGCCATCAAGAGGACTTGGAATATAGTGCGTGAGTCATGTGAACCACTTTTATCATACTTTTATGGTGCTTTTGCATCCTTTTCAAAACGTAAGAAAAAACATTCTTTAAAAAAATGATCGTTTTTTTGTCCTCTGGAAGAAAGAAATTAATTTGGGTTTTGGAGTGACATGGGTGATTAAATAATTACAGAATTTTAATTTTTGTGTGAACTGGCCCTTTAAGAGTTGTTTTACATATACAAGGCAGCTCTTAAAGCTAAACTAATTATGCAACAAGATTATTATTATTACTAGATTATTGTTCAGTTTTTGTTGGAGAATCTCTTATAGTATTGTAAGTGCCATCTGTTAAAGCAGTCCGCTACAGGTCAAGAGAGTGCAGTAATATGAACTCCTCATTTCCCATTGTTTGCTTTCCTACAGGCAAAAGAGGATGATCAATTTCACCGTCCCCCCCAGCACCCCCCCCCCCCTCCAGCACATACACATTGCCTGTAATTAAAAACATACTTTTACAAGATGATTGTCTGTATAACTAGCGTTACTCTCACGGTCGAGCATGTGGAGCAATCAACAGAATGTCTTACGATAATTTGAAAAAAATCTAGATTTTTTTCTGTCAGTAGAAGTGTGAACAGACTCCAGGAGTCCTGCTGGGGCCAGTTGCATAAACTTATGTTAAGACTGCCTTAAGTATGAGTTTGACCAACTAGCAGTTCACCAAAGGGTAATCAGTCTTATTTTTGGATTCAACTTAGACTAATCTATGCTTTTATTTAACTGAATTAAAAAAAATATGACCACTCTTAAAGAAAAAAATTAGATGACTAACTTATAAAATTAATCTAAACCTTTTATGCAGCCGGCCCCTGTAAATAGCATTAGATAAAAACTAGCTGTTTCTTACATCATGAGAAATAACGTGATGTTAATATCATTAGCAGGACATTTTGCCACTCGCTTTATTTCTGTTTCTGCAGTGTTACACTGGTAGCTCCACCCATAGTGAAATCGCATTGGTTCAAAATCTCTATTGATAGCGCATTAATAAAATCACAATGTAATGGAAGTAGTAGCAGACTGCATTGTGATGTACATCCAAGTGAAGTAGATTATTAAAAAAGAAGAAATGTAGGATGAGTGACTTGGTTCTGTTCTTTGGTTGTTGATTGAATGGAGGCAGATTTAAATGCAAGCTTGCAATTGATTGTATAAAAAGATTTAATGGCTGGCGAAGACTGTCTTTTAACTGGAAGATCAAGTTATAACATTTTGATTCAAAAATTGCCAACTCAAAAAATGAAACATGCTTTGATGAATCATTCACAAAAAGATCAATAAGTTTCATTTAGAAAATATTCATTTCATGCTGACTTCAAATGTTTAAATGTGTCTTGCTTCGCTTTGATTTGTGCTTCATAGCATTTTGCTTCAGTTTTTATAGTCACATTAATGCTGGAAACATTGCCTGTTTAGTGCACGGTGGAATACTACATTTCAAACCGTTATTTGTACATTTGGAAGACACTTTTACTAATTGCAAATGCTCCGTTCAAGGTGGTTAGCATGTCCTTGATAAGGTAAATTCAATCGCAAGGCCTGTTCACATCAAGTTTAATGCAACTAAATAACACACAATTTGAAAAATGCGTCTTTTTGCATTCAATTTTCATCATCCTCCATATTTCAATATCTGAATGATTTTTTTTTTTAATGACTTGTATATGAATAAATAATGACTGATTTGTTTAAAGGACTACAAAGTGGTACATTGTTTCATTCATGTTTTTCATGCCAAACAGCCATGATGCTTGGTGTGAATAGGCCGTCATTTAGCAGATAAACATGCTTTGTAGTTGTGCTGCTGCCACACTGACTCACATGTCCAAAGTTAGCCTGGGAATTCCTCACTTTCAGACAACTGTGTGAAAGCTAGTACTGTCCCACTCACAGGACAGATCAGCTTTCTCTCTCCTTCTACCCACCTCCCTCTCTGTCCTCTCCTCCCATGTTCCTCTCTACCCTTTCCTCCTCACCATTTCAGGATTCTCGTCCCGAGCAGATGGGGGACAGCTCAAGGTGACAGAAAGAGCTTTTGGGTCAGTTTCTTCCCCAGGACAGACCCAGTAATTTGGACTGAGCACTGATTTCTGCAGGCTAAGAAAAGCCCCACATAAATGAGGAAAAGAAAGGAGGAGAAAACAATGGGATGAAAGTAGAGAGGAGTGACTGTGGGTAATGGAGGGGCGTGAAACGTGGGAGCTGACCAAAGACTGTTATTAGCGAGAATAGCTTCTCCCCACCTCTTCAGTGAAATCTTAGAGGCCTCAAAAGGTCAAAACGTTTTCGCAGCTCGCAGTGAATACGTTCAGTCAGTGCTGAAACAGCCATGTCATTTTTAGGACAGACTACAAGAGAGGAGTGGAAAAGTTCATGTCTCGTTTTCATCCACCCCCCTTCTAGTTTTTGACGAGTAAAATCTCGCCCTCTCTCCAGGTCCCATTTGCTTGTCTACCCAGCGTGAGTGTTTAATCTTTTCAGTGCCTTGAATTGGGCTAGAGAAAGAGGCCTGAGCTCTCTCCCGCCAGGGGCCGTGTGGCTCATTCGAGAGCTTCAATCACTGTGCAAACACAGCAGCGCTCCCTCCATATACACCTCCATAGAGCCCAACTTTCTCTCCTCCGTTGATGCCCTCCTTCACTTTCCTCCCCGCTTTGCTTTCTGTTTTTCCGCCGTCAGACTGTTAAGAAATCCCTCCTGCTGTATTCAACGAACCATCAGGGGTCAGAGCTGTAGGAAACGTTCAGAGTTGTTCTGTAATTCTGTGGGTTTTATTCCCTTGCCTTGTCTGGCGAAACTTTTCATGTTTGTGGCGGTGTCCGTTTTAAAAAAATTAGTTGCTGGGTTATGCGAGCGAGCGCCGTCCATCTGACGACGTAAATATCTGTGGATTTGGATGTGCGTCGACATCAGCGGTGCCTTCCTGTGCTAACCTGCGATGATGGAAGGAGGGCACTGGCATTTGATGCAAAACAAATAAAGCGATTTGTTTGGTTTTTGTTTTTCAGAGAAAGTTTGATTTAGCCTGCATCAGTTTGATTTGGTTTGGATGTTTGCTTTGCTCAGGGTTTGCGGGGAGGGCACTTGCTGTCTTTTTCTACTCGTGAACCCTAGTTGAAGCATTAGTGGCCTTAAAGCTCTCAGAAAGCCTGATGGTGAATCATGAAATAAGGGTGGATCAGTGAGCCGGGATTAGATGGGTTCTGGCTTCATAGGTAGTGAATTGGCCATTGAGGCTTCAGTTTTCATGCTTTTTTTTTTCTTCTGAAAATTGGATGTGGGAATGGAATAACTTATGTGGGTATTAGTTTGTAAATGGGTGAATGTCTCTCTTTATTCAGTGCAGATATTTGAATGGTTAGGACATTTTTTTTTTTTTTTTGTCAAGTGTGCGTTCTTCCCCCGATGTGAATTGAACTATTTAGTGTGTGTGTGTATATACAATTTTTATATAGTTGTGGTAAAAAAAAAAAACTAAAACTAATATACAGTTGTTGCTCAAAAGTTTACATACATCCATATTATTTTGATAAAATTATTAAAATTTTTGCAAATTCTGCAAGATGTGTGCATTTTTGACCACAAGTGTAGTTTTACATAAATACCATAAAAATTTTACATAAAAATAAAATTTTTATATTGTTTTATTTTCATGTTTTTTTCTGCTAATTAGATGTTGGGGATGGAATAACTTGTGTGGCCATTAGCACCTATTTGGAACTACTTTTTTATTTTATTTAATTTGATTTGTTTTTTCATTTATTCTGAAATGATTTCTTCATTATGCTACAGACTCTTGTGGGCAGCAGTTGCTTTTCTGTTTTCCAAAAATTTTCTTTTCAAATCACTAAAACATCAATATGAAATGAATTGTTAAGGAACCACAAGCATCAAGATGAATTTGAATCATATCCATAATCTCAATTCATATGATCCGTATAACTGTTTGTATATGTTGTGCTTCTGTCATTCAGAGAAAACTGCTGGCCATCTACCTCCACAATGACGAGAGTGTCCTCAGTAACGTGTTCTGCTCTCAGATGATGTGCGCAGACTCCATAGTGTCATATCTCAGCCAGAACTTCATCACATGGGCCTGGGACGTTACTAAAGAAGCTAATAAAGCCAGGTAACACTGTTTGGCATGTTCCTTCCTCTCATCTCTCTCATTGCATGCACTCACAATGGCAGTCAAACCATCCAGAACGGTGGGGATCGGAAGCATTTTCACACTCAAAATGGATGATCTCTTAATGAGAGGCATTCCTCCCTTCCCCCCTCTCCTTTTCTGACTCTCTCCTCATAGAGGGCTTTAACAAAAGATGTCGTGTTTGCTCACTGAGGCCCCGGTAGGGCAATCTGCACTAATCTGCCCCGCTAAAGGGTCAGTTAGACACACAGCCATCATAGAGCACACTCCTCAGAATGTCTTCATTTCAGGATGCCAATTACAGAGGTTTTACATTTTGTCACTGGGCAAATGCAACTTTTGGCCATCAGAAGCAAGAGAAACATGCACCTAAAATAGCGAAGATCCCAGATTGCTTCAGGTAGAAACGGAGCATGCAAAATAAAAATTTAATGCCAGAAAAGGAAACGAACAGAGAGAGAAAAAGGGCGAAGCTGGTCAGGCAGCAGATGGATTCTTCATTGGTCCCAGCAGGCTTTACTTCTGAGCAGGCCTCTACTTTTCCTTCCAGTAGGCTTCACCCTAAAGGCCTCCCTCCGGAGTGGACGGGGAGAGAAAGACCAGCTAGTGACCTGCTTCTGCAGGGGCTCCTTCAGTCCAGCCTTGCCTTTATACCCCTCTCCCTCCCCTTCTGCTTTTTGCCCCAGCTGAGCCTTTCTACCACAGATTAAAGGCGGACAACATCTGGGGCTATTCATAATGCGAACAGAGAGACACACACACACACACACACACACACACAATCCCACATCCTTATATACTGACATACTCGTACACACATACACACCTCATTCTCACGCTCCCGAGCCAGGCCTGACTGATTGGTGATTGTGGATGGTGACTGGCAGTGTTTTTCAAAGCTAACTCTGTGAATGAAGCCTGTGAATCGCTAATCTCTGACACCGATCACATAGACTTTCAGCATAATTGTGCATTAATCCAGAGCCCAAATGTAATTAGAGTGAATGTAATTAGCACCCACAGGTGCTACAGGTGCTCTTTGTTACTGGTATAAGTAAGAAAAAGCTGCAGGACACAATTTGACTGTGTATTCTAGCAGATACAAAGTTTCTTCAATCCATTTAGGCTACGTCCACACGAAGCCAGAGCTTTCCCTATCTGATCTTTTTTTCCCCCTTGTCTCAAGAAATATCTGCGTCCACACAAAACCACGAAACCTGACACAAAACGATATAGTATACATGCCAGGCCAGCATGTGGCACTGTAATTCTGCCACAGAGATACACTAAAAAAAGGGAGAAGACGGCTTGGACTATGCGCATAAACCTTGCATGCGGTATACAAACGAACATGGAACAATACATTTATTAATCTGTGTTAATGTTAGTTAATAAAAAGACAATCGTTCAGTGTTTGTTCATGTTTTTGTTCCTGTTACGTGACGTAGTGGTGTCTGACTAGGGGCTGGACGTGGGCTGATGACGTCATCGTTTTAGAAAATATACGGATTCGCTGTCCACATGAAAACGCAAGGGTGGCTTTTTCAGATTTATCCACTCTGGGACCCGGTTTCAAAAAATAGCAGTTTCACTCTCCCAAAACGCCGGATCCATTTGGACGAAACGCCTATATGATACAGAATGTATGCATATACAGCTAAACGCGTCTCCGTGTGGACGGGGCCTAAATCCTGATGATTCATATAGCTGATTTATTGACAATGCTAAAAATCTAAATAATTGCCATTTAATACTTAATTTTTTTTCCCAACAGCCACAGCAGTTTCTTGTCCTGCAGCAAAAAGTCGGAAGAAAGTTTGTCCCTTTTTCTGATCTGTGAGATACATTGGGGAAAGTATTTAAAGAATAATGTAAATGTATTTTTAAAAATACTAAGTCGAATTGTTGTTAAATAAAATTTAATTGTGTACTGAATCAAACTGAATCATTATAGATCATTATAGCCATAAGATAATATTTAAAGCATTATTGCTACAATTGATCATCCTTTTTTTTCTTTTTGCCTTTGTTTAAAGAACAGTTGAGAAGAGGCAGGATATGATAGGAGAAGAGGGATCAGGAAAGAAACACTAGCCAGGACTCAAACTGGAGATGTTGAAGAGATGTGCACAAGGCTATTTTTCCAGCAATATACTTAATAACAAAATCCCTTATCCAAAGTATAAAATGTCTTTTCCTGTTTTGCAACAGGTGTAAATGATACCTCAAATCGTTTGACTTTTTGAGGACAGGTGGGCTATTGGAGAATTTTGCTTGTGGATGATAAAAGCGAAAAAATCCGGTAGACTTAGACTGAAGACAGTGTATAAAAAAAAATCTAGTTTTAATATCATGTAAATCAACAGAAGTATTTAAAAACTCCAGGAAAATTCTTGGAATTCTGTTGTTTGTTGTTGATGTGCAACTGTGTCATTGAAAATCAATGCATAGTTTAAGAAGTATCATGATAATTGTGATCGAGACACTGTTTTCTCAGGGAAACAGTCATAGAGCAGTCCACGCCCTGTGGCCCCAGCAGATGGTCTGATACTGTGCCACACCTCTGTCGGTTCAGGCGATGGGGAAATATTACGGTTCACACACTCGAGCTAGGGTTGAGAAGGAGACGAGAGCGTGTCACTCCAATTACGAAGATGTCCTTGATGAGATGCTTAAAACACCTGGTGTTACTAACTAGAAAATCAAAAATAACTCCCCTGAGGTCCTTTGAGAACTCTTAACATTCTTCGAGATTCCTTTACGCATCATTGATGTGACAATGAACTGCCAAATGCAATGCCTGATGGGACCTCTGGAAACACAAGTGTTATTTGTATGATGTTTAATATTTTTTGGCAGTGAAACAGCTCAGTGGAATCTAGTCATCTGTACAAGTTACACAGAAGATAGATCGCCTGTTGTCTTGTTAGTTAACTATGTAGTACGCTAACTTAATTAAATTTTTTCACTCTTGTCATTCTTATTTTCACTCGTTTTCACTTCACTTCCTTGTTTTCTAATGGTATTTGAAATATAGGGAATATTCATTTGCAGTATGCTACATTGTCACAACATTGTATAAAAATGCTAAATAACCATGTTGCGTCTCAACTTTAACTTAACTAACTCTAGTAATTGCAAGTAATTCAAAGAGTCAATGATGAGTGCATTATTATCTGGTGGAGTGCATTTAATTAGAAATACTTTATTCCATGTAGTGTATTCTGAATAATTACTGCACACAGTATACATACTATTTCATCAATTATAGGTAGTATGCCTATCTGAATATACCCAGAGTCCAAGAAGTGCTCACTCATCTCCTCTGATGCAACTTTTTTTTTTTATAGTTCTCTCTCTGATAATAGGGTGAAATTTGGTGTGAAAAAATCCTCAATTTTCACTCTAGTGTGTTCCATCTCTCCTCTATTTTACTTTCCAGTCATTAAAGCCGATGTTATTAAAAGAAGAGAGAAGCTAATCTATATTTGCATTCGCTCTATAGCAATTCATTAATATTATGACATTTACTGCGAGCTCTCTGAGTCTGCCTGCTACCCTTTTCCTTCAGCGAAACGTTAATTTAAAGTTCTGTCTTTGTAATGGAATAAGAAATCCTCTCTGCCCTATCAAATTTGGTGCGGCGGGAGCTGAATACTAATTCAGACCGGGGGAGTGTTTGGAGAAGGACCATCCTCTGAGCGGAGAGCAGAATTGGTTTTAAAGTCTGTTAATATGATGAGCTGTGTACTCTTATTAAGCTCAGTGATTGTTCAGGAGAGTTTCACTGGCTGGCTGTCCACTGTCCACTTAAATTACTGGCTCTCTCTCTTTTCTCTCACTCTCTTTCTAGACTACTCACGATGTGTACAAGGCACTTTGGCAGTGTTGTTGCACAGACCATTCGGACGTACAAGACTGACCAGTTCCCATTACTTTTAATTGTCATGGGCAAACGGACATCAAATGAAGTTTTAAATGTCATTCAAGGTAAAATATATATCTAAATGAACTACAAATAAAATTATAGATAACACTTCATCAATTAATTAAACTTACTTAGTACTATCACAAAATCTGAGACCATATATGGATGGATAGATAGAAAAAAATTATACTGTCAACATAACTATTTGAGGTAGAATTGAAAGATTCCCTTTGGTTTAATAATAGCAGCAGCTTGAGTGGCCTTGAACTCCACAAATGTGTGTAAAACCTGTCACAAATGTACTTGTTTCATTGGTAGGGATGTAACGATTAACTGCGAGCCGGTTGAAAATCGATTTAAATATGTGATGATTCAAATCGGTTGAGATGCTAAACAAATCGCAATTCAATTAGGGGTAGGAGTTTATATGAATATATGTCTGGGGGGAACTTACTGTCTTTCAATGGTATTTTTTATTTTCCTCTTGCCTCTGTATAAAGCATATTAAAGTTCATAATTGCAGCGCTGCTTTGTTTACAGCAGAAAGGCTTTAAGAGCCACCTGCTGGCAGAGAGTGAATCTGCGTCTAATTCAGCTCGTCTGCTGTTTCTGTTTCATGCAGATATTTTTTATGTATAGTTTCACAAAACTGAAGTCAAACCATTCTGTTTTTGCTTCAAATTTCGAAATTATACAATCTAATTTAGATTAAAAACTGCTCATGTTGCATGTATGCAGCATCTTTGTTTGGATCATGATTAAAATGCAGTGGTTGCCTCTAATTTTAAATGGAAAGAGCACAGACAAAGCCTTAGTTTGTTTATATGAAGAGATTTATTTTATTTGTTACTTATTTATTTGATTTGGCGCTTGTTTTAAAATTTCAGTTTAGTTTTGTTATTTACATTTACATTATGTTAAAATTTTGTTATTTAGCTTTTATCCAAAGCGACTAACAAATGAGGACAATAGAAGAAATCAAAACCAACAAAAGAGCAATAATTTACAAGTGCTATATTAGTATATTATTATAGTGTTATATTTCAATTTCACAAAGAAACGTACAGTATTTTGTCCAAGTAATAATAAAAGGACACATTTAATTTATAATTTGTCTTCAATCTCATTTTGTTCAAAAACAATCGTGAATCGAATTGTGAAATCAAAATCGTGAATCGAATCGTGAGTTGAGTGAATCGTTACATCCCTACTCATTAGTGATCAAGAAATTTACAATTTAAAATTGTACTTAATGTACAAAATTATAAAACTTTTAGGTTTACATTAGGCTCAATTTAGTCTCTGGAGGGCCAAATTATTCCAAATATATTTAAATAAATTGTTATATACATAATGAAATTGTTAATAAAAACATAAATCAAAATTATTTAATCTTTAAACAAATTAATAAATGTCTACTGAATTTCTTTTTCGCATCGATTTGCGTTCATATTAATAATTCATAGTAATTCCGATTTTATTTTTCAAATAAGAAAATCAATAAAATTAAATTGTAGATCAACGTGTCTCATGTCATGCCGTATGCAATTATTTTACATTTGGAACATTTTGCATGCATCTCAAAGTATGAAGAACTGCAAAATTAGATAAGTCTGCTACAGTTTGATTGTTGTTGTTTTTCTGTTTGTGTGATGAAGGCAACACAACAGTGGATGAGCTTATGATGAGACTCATGGGAGCCATGGAGATCTTCACAGCACAGCAGCAAGAAGACATCAAAGATGAGGTGAGATCAAACATGAGCTCTCTTCATAGGCAGCTTTTTAAGGTCTCATTTCTTAAACAAAAATAGGCAACTTCATTATTCTGCCCCCTAAGATACTTTGTTTGGCCAAATTCTAAGATAGCACTGCATGTATCCTTTGTGGAAAAATCACTTCCACATTGTATCGTGACAATATAAACTCAGTTCTTCCCAAAATTTTGCAACGCACGCTACTTGTAATTCACTACACCAGACACTGATTAGCACAGAGAGGCTTTTTATTAGGCAGATTCAAAGTCATATTTTTAGGCCACAAAAAGGGGCATGTTGGGGCAGATGACCACTCATTGTCTGACTCATACGAGTCGGCCCATCACACAGGGGTAAGAATAGACACTCCGCCTGCGTCTGTGCGTTTGTCTGGGTTTCAGACAAGCCATGGAAGAAAAAGCACAATTGTGTAATGTAAGCTTGCGGTGGCCTGTGCTTGTGAAGTCAACACAATGCTGGCAGGATGCGATTTTGGTGTGTCATGTCTGCATGCGGTATGAGATTGTTTAAATCAATGCAAACAGTCTGCAAACAAATGCACTTACAAAGAGCTCAAACAAGATGTGTCCATCTGTTCAAATCAATTGAAAACGGTTTTAAGTGAAAGGTTATTCCAAATAGTGGATCTCTATGCTCTGTGGCAACTTTCAAGAGGAGATTAACTTCCTGCCTAATTAAAAACACTAATTATTAAAGTTTTGTTACATGTCATGACAGGTCTGTCCACACTTCTTTGAGTTGAGCTAATTAGTCATCTTTCTTCACCTGTGTGTGTTAATGTTCGTGTCTGTGGTTTGGTGGGAAATGTTCAGGCAGCAAACACAGGTTACTGTCCCCCTGAGGCACATTGACTCCATGATTTGATAAGTCATGACATTTCATGCCTCGTCCCAGCATTCTCTTTTCAGTTCGCACCCCTGCGTGAGATGCTTTGAATAATTATCAATCACGAAAAGCAACAGAAAATATTTATGCTGTGTCATAATTGTCATATTTCTTGCCATTGTCTCAGTGTGAAAATATTTCTGCTAGAATCCAGGTAATTTGTTCAGTCTCCATCTGCTATTAGGCCGGTTTCCCGGCTCGGTGAATAAGTTCCGTTAAAAACGTTATTTGTATCTGTTCCATTAGAACCATTAGGCTGTGAAATTTCTGAGATTTCCTCAGTCAGAGCGCTTGAATAACTCTGACACATTGATGGATTTCTGCTGGAAGTATCTTGACGGTTTGCTCCTCGTGGCAATTAATGGCTGTAATCTGTTTGGCTGTGAAGGAAATGTGATGTGAACGGACACAAACAGGGAGCCGGGTTTAGTGAGGTGCCAGAGGAAACGCAGGAGATATTTTGCGTTTTATGTTGTTCACACATTTGGCCCTTAGCTGGAAAGTAAAGCAACAAGTTTTCCATTCATTTTCTGTTCACTGAAAAACAGTTTATGTGGTAGAAATGAAAGATGAGGTTTGCCTAAAACATGTAAAATTATAATATTTACTCCCTAGGGTTGGGTATCAATACACATTTTAATTTGATTCACCAGCTCTTTATTTGAGTTATGTCTAAACTATTCAAATTAGTTTTGAATGGTTAATTAAAAGGACTAACTCAAAAAGAGAAAACTTTCATTTTTCTTGAATTAGACTACACTGGTTGTGCAGAAGGTTTTTGATTCAGTAAAAAGAACCAGTTCATAAAAGTCCTTTGTTTATGAATTGGACTAAACTGGCGACACCGATTTTTTTGTTTTTGTTTTGATTCAACCAGAACCACCGATTCATAAGAATACTTTTTTAATGAATTGGACATCACTGGGGGTTGGATGAAAAATATTTAATTCAACAAAAAGAACAGGTTCAAGAGAGTCATGTCTCCATGAATTAGATTACACTGGTTGCTGTAAACGTCTTTGAGTCAACAACAAAAAAAAGGGTTAATTGTTTGATATTTAACTACACCTGTTGCATTAAATGTTTTTGATTCAACAAAAAGAACCAGTTTGCAAGTTTGACTATACTGGTTGCACTGAATGTTTTACGTTCACTAGAAAGGAAAGAAATTCAGACTACGAATGGTTTTGAAGGGTCAAAGTATTGTAGCATTGACTTAGTTTTAAATTAAATTTGTTGATTAAAGTACAGCTGGTGATTACAGCTCATTTCAAATCATGGGTGTGATGCTTGAACCCAAATCTTTTGTTAACCTTGTGTTTGTACACAAATGAGTGAGCCACCTTAGAAATGTGTGGGAGTGTTTGAAAGCATTTGTTGTTGTGCCACCACTAACAGCCTGCCATTTGAGGCAGTTTAGGTTTGCCCTTTAAAGTCCTTAACCGAAATGTCCCTGTGTGAGTGTCATTCCTGCCCCATACAGTCAGGTGACTCATAGTGACCTGTGTGTGTCTGTCCATCTGTATGGACAGATATACACCCCTTACATACACTGTCTGGATCAACAGGCAGACTCAGACAGCACACACTCATCCACCAAAATCACACCAGCATTCCTCTCTGTGTAAGTGACATGACCTGGGGTTGTGCAGTCAGGGGTAAAATAGTTAGTTATACGCTTTCTCCATTAGCTCTTGTACAGGTCACAGCACTGACTCACTGTATGTAGAGTGTAACAGAGAAAAAAAAACATGGGAGAAAGCTTTCTCATTCTTTACTCACCCCATTTAATTATTTTCAACTTACACTTTCTTTTTCTCTTTGACAGAGCATTGAAAGAATGCTTTGCTTAGTTCATGTAGAAGGATACAAGTGGAGTAAATGGATAATCAAATTGGTGAAATTGGACTAATGAATTTAATAATTAACTTTATATGTTAAAATTCATTACTATTTTTTAATGGCCAATAGATGTTAGCTTGGATGACAGCCATGAATTATGATTTGCTACTTGATATTGCTAGTCAAGGGCATTATAGAAATAATTTTGAATGTTACATTTTAGATTTTCCCAAAAGAGACTGGCTGTACATTTTCTGGACATTTTGATGACCTGTCACAACACCTAAACCTTATTTTATTATTATTATTATTATTATTGTTGTTGTTATTTTGTAAATTGTACTGTAAATTTGTTTGTTTGTTTTGTTTTAATTTTACTATGAATTTTAAAATTAGATATCTACGGTATGACCAGTCACAACATCTAAACTTTTTTCTTTTTTTTTAATCTATTTTTTTTTTGTTGTGTTTTGTTTTTGTTGTTTTTTTTTTTTTGCTGTCTTTTTGTTTTGTTGTGTTTTGTTGTGTTTTTGTTTTGTTGCTCTAGGTTGCCGTTTGGATAATGAACTATACTACTATACTACTTGGTGGAAAAATGGCTACTATTAATGTTGTTTAGTAAATATAAATTTAATTATTCTTTCATAATAAGGTTGTTGTCACCATTTCGTGAACCAGTAAGCTGTGAGAGGCCATTAGTTTTTTTTTAACTTTAAGTTTTTATTGACATGCCTTGTTTCTAACAACACTTATCTATGGCGAATTCAGTGTAAAACATGGCCTCTCATGACTAATTGCTTTATTATAACAGTGGCTTTTGAAAGTCCTTTTGAAAGATTTTGCCTTGTACGATTTGTTCTTATTTCCAGCCCTCAGATAAAAGATCCAGTTGTTTGTAATCCCGATACACCTGAGTTGTTTCAGTGTTCTGACTTTACGAATAGAGACCCACACACAGCCCACAAACTCTTCCTATACCACAACATGGATTTCACACACTCTTTTACAGCTCGTTTGAATAGAATTTGAGGATGTATCTCTCCTTTGATCAGCCTCTGTGCTCTATCGCTCCTTTCTCTTCTCTATCCTTCCTTTTCTTCTCCTCTGCTCTGTGTAGTCACAACTCTTTTTCACATTTCCACACAAAGTCCAGCCAGGAGAAAAGACCCTTAGTCTTAAAAGCGGCCGCAGACAATCGCACGAGCCTGACTGCACAAAAGCAACAGTAGTTATTCACAGTCTTCAGTCTCAGCAGGTAGACCTGCAGCTGGGTTTTAACAAACAGGATCCACACACACACACTCACAATAATAAAAGAACCCGTCCATTGTATGTAGAGGAACTCCATGCATTCACTTCTATAAGATACTCTTTCAGTCGTCCCCAGTTAGTGTGTCCGACAATACAATAGTATTCAGTATGTGGCCATTACTGTTGACAATGACAAGGAACCATCTCATACGTAAAAGATCCAGTGGGATTGTTATCTGGATAGACATGCTCTTATTGGCTAGCCTGGTATAGGATGTAGATAATAGAAATCTAGTGATAAAATAAATAAATTCTGAGACTACTAGATAAAATGCCTTTTTCCTAATTATATTATCAGCTAAACAGTTTTAGTAAGTATTTAAAAGTCTTTTGGACAAGTTAGTTCACATGGTCAGTATCTACTTGCTTTTCCAATCAGTGACCTAAAAATAGACCTAAAACTTTAATTATTTATTAGTTTATTTATTTGCTTATTTTTAAATTATTATTATTATTAATGGTTTTTATTAATATTATTGTTAATAATAATAATTATTATTATGTCTTCAATTTAGAAAAATCTATTATTGTTTACTACTTTCAAGTTTAATTTAATTTATTTTATTTTTTACTTTTGGATGCATATAAAAAAGTAAATATTAATGTTCATATTCATTTCAGAAATTACTATTATTATTATTATTATTATTATTAATGTTTTTGTATTAATAATTATAATAATAATAATAATTATTATTATTATTATTATTATGTCTTCAATTTAGACAAATCTTTTATTGTTTTTCTTACAAGTTTATTTTAATTTATTTAATTTTTTTCACTTTTGGATACCCCTGCATATAAAAAAGTAAATATTAATGTTCATATTCATTTCAGAAATTATTGTTGTTGTTGTTATTATTATTATTATTATTATTATTAATGTTTTGTATTATTACTACTACTACTAATAATAATAATTATTATTATGTCTTCAATTTAGACAAATCTTTTATTGTTCTCTTCCAAGTTTATTTTAATTTATTTTATTTTATTTTTTACTTTTGGATCCCCCTGCATATAAAAAAGTAAATATTAATGTTCATATTCATTTCAGGAATTATTGTTGTTGTTATTATTATTATTATTATTATTATTATTAATGTTTTGTATTATTAATAATAATAATTATTATTATTAATAATAATAATAATCATTATTATTATTATTATGTCTTCAATTTAGACACATCTTTTATTGTTTACTTCCAACTTTATTTGAATTTATTTTATTTTATTTTATTTTTTACTTTTGGATCCCCCTGTATATAAAAAAGTCAATATTAATGTTCATATTCATTTCAGAAATTAAAAATTGTTGTTCTAATTTTAGATGATTAGTTCATGACATTAATTTTATTCACCCTCATTTTTCTTTCAGGATGAACGTGAAGCCAGAGAAATGGTCAAAAGAGAGCAGGATGAAGCTTATCGTTTGTCTCTGGAGGCTGACCGTAAAAAGGTTTGGCAAGATATTAAATGTCCTTTTTTGCTCAGATTTCCTTTTTTGGTTTGTTTGTTTGTTTTTATTTATTTCAAGTTATCTATTTATTTATATTTATTTTCGTTGAATTTAGAGGTATAATTGCTGAATGATTGTGTAAAATTCTTATTGAGGTATTTTAGTATAGTATGTTGCTAGTTAATGTGATTTTTTATTTTTTTTTTTCAGAGAGAAGCGCAAGAGCGAGAAGAGGCAGAGCAAGTCCGTCAGGAGCGAATCAGGAAAGAGCAGGAGGAAGAACGAGAGGTGAGGTTTACTTTGAGTTTCACCGGTTTGGTGACTGTTTCAATAACACGGTTTATATGACAAGCTCTCAAAGGTTGGTGAAAAGAAGAAAATTTCAGAATGACCCTAAATAATTCACCTTAAAAGTAGCACGATACAGGCGATGTAATCATGATCCTTCCTTGTAAAAGAACTGGAATTCACAGAAATGTACTAGTTTCCTTGTTTTATTCTACGTAGAGCCCAGCGAAGCTTTGTTTCCTTGCCAAATATGACTGATTTCCTGCATTATGTTACTATTACACTGCGTTACCAGTTAGTTCCAGTTAATTGGTTCAAAAGAGCCATTAATGCTTTTGAAAACATCTTAAATCTTTAAAACCACTCTTTCTGATCCATTGAAGCCGAAAAAAATTAGCACAAAAATGGCACCCGTGCTTTAAGTCCAAATTTAAACCTGACAGTTTCACTCACATTGACATTTAATGTGTTTATGGATATTCTAAACATGTAACTTAAATGGGATTTCACGCCTCATAAGATGACAAATAGCAGTGACAGCCATAAAGCTTCATGTCCTGTCATAACCACTTTCATCAAACACACAGTTTACGTTGTTGCACATATCACATACTTATTTGCAATCCGCCCGCGTACTCCTGCAGTGTTTGCGCTATTGCCCCGTATACGAGCTGTACAAAACGACAGGTGCACGTCAAAGCACTGACACTCTCACAAAGACGGCATCAAAAAGTGTCACGGAAAGTTAAATCTCACCTGTAGATGTAGGAGTAAGCAAATATTTCCCCTTCCCTATCAGCTGATCAGCCGAATACAATACCACCGTATTAACATAAAAATTTATTACAGATGGTGCGGTTTAGAGCTCCTTTCTAAAGACAGTTTGTGGCACAAAGTGTACTTGTTCATTTAGTGTGCTTACAAGTTCAACACACACTCTTTTTAATAAGATATTTGCTCACCAAAAACACAAAATAGCCACCACACCAGTGTTGCCAGATTATCGTCTGTTTATTCAGCAGTAAATACTAACCGGACCAGCTCAGGTGAAACTGCTATATGAGATCATTTGTCACTTTTAGGCTTCAACAAAAGCACATAATTAGTTAAATCTCCTATTGCCATGGTACCATTCTTGTCAGGACGTGGTGTGTAGGCTACAGTATAGACCTTCAAACATACGATACCCTACAATAGCTCACTTTAGCTTCATTTAATGCTTGTCTTGGACAAAGCTTTTAATATGAGGAATATTGTGGAGAGGTAAACACAAAGACGGCCTGGAGGCGAAGTAATTGTGTCAGTCGTGTGTGTGTGTGTGTGTGTGTGTGTGTGTGTGTGTGTGAGCTGTTAACTCAGCAGCAGCCTTGTTTTAATGAGAGCAGGGTCTAAAGTTGTTCACCTGCTGTCTGTAATGAACCCAAGGGGAGAAGAGGCTTGAAACACACACACACGTTTAAACGGATAAAATCACCTGCACTAAACTTCAAATGACCGTTTTTGCTTTTTTCCCCCTTCCATACTGAAACTTCACGCCTTTGGACGTGAATCTCCAAGCTGTGAAACGGGTGACATGTCTTTGATTCCTGCACCTTAGAGGTCACCTGTTACGTTTCATGACATCGTTTGGATTCGCACACAATCGTATATAACCTCTTGCTCTTGATGGGAAAGATTAGATTCAAATGGCGTACATTCATTTCTGCGATTTTCAGCAGCTGTTACAGTTTGGACGTATGTGGCATGTGTGTATCTACGCTTTTTCCCGTGCGTCATTTTTGTGACATTGTGTGTGTGTAAACAAGGCAGTAAGATGCTCTCCACCTGGAGTCTATCCAAGCACGCGCGCACCCTCGCACACGCCCAAACCACAGCACCTCGGTGGGTCTGTGGCCACAATAGGCGCACTGGAGGGAAACAATCAGCAGAAGTGTATAGAGAAGTAGAGAGGGGAAATGCTCTGTGATTTGGACTCTTTTGTGACCCAGACAGCGCACGAAAGGCCGAGGGGGAGTGGTGATGTCATTATTCTCTGCCGTCAGGTGCTACACACACACTCTGTTTGTTTAGCGCAGTGAAAAGGATGCTCCTCAGTGCCCTTTGTGCGCAGGGACCAGGAAACACACAGTGCACACATACATCCCGAGCAGGGCTGGGGAGAAACGCTGTTCGCCCCCCAGAGGGCTTTTTACACGTGGGCCCCTACCTAAGGGAGCGGGGCCGGCACGCGCTCACACAAGCCACCTGCTGCTAATGAGCTACTGTTGTACACTTTGATGAAATATAATTGCATTATGGTGTGTAAATAAAGCCTGCGTGTTTTGTCACAGCATATGCTGCCCAGTGTCACAACAGGAACAACAAGCTGGAGTTGAAAAGCCCAGAGGAGCGGCAGGTCGTGCTCCGTGTCACTAGAGACGGCGCAATTCCCTCACCTCTCCCTCTCGCTTTCGCGCTTGTTCTCTTTAAACGTGTATGCGACTTCTCGCTGTTTGCCTCCCCGTCCCTCGCTTTTGTCTCGGTTTTTTTTTTTTTACAGTGTGATATTTCTATGACGTGCAAAATGGAACGATTTTTTTTGTGTGGCACGTTCAAGCTATGATGGAGCGCTAAATTTAGGACCTTTGACGCATGACTTTCGTGGTGCTATTTAATAAGATCCATGCATATATATGTTATGTGGTACAGTAGTGTGGTTTTATAGTCATTTTAATATTAAATGAGCTTTAAACATTCACATTCCAAACAGAAGATTTATGAAGGGGTTAGTTCATGAGGTACGATTGTTTTGCCATAATGTTACCGTTTTGCTGTCCCCTGCGCAGGCTATCCGTCTCTCATTGGAGCAGGCCCTGCCACCAGAGCCCAAAGAGGAGGGCGGAGAGCCAATCAGCAAACTGCGCATCCGGACGCCAAGCGGCAAGTTTTTGGAAAGGCAGTTCCTGGGCAGCTGTAAACTCCAGGTCCTGTTTGACTTCGTCGCCTCCAAGGGCTACCCATCTGATGAGTTCAAACTGCTCACCACCTTTCCACGCAGAAATGTAAGTTCACACATGCACACAAACATTTACTATAGATTTATGTAGTTTTCAAATAAATGTCTTCGAATTTATATGCATTTTGACCCTAAAATAATCCTTAAACTTGCACTAAAACTTTTTACACTTTTTAAAATACAGTATAAATAAATATGAATAAATGCATAAATATACACTTATAGTTTCTTAAAATGACATATTAGTGCTATATATAAGACACAATGGATACATTTTGTATTATATATTTAAATTATATATAAATAATTTTGTTTATTTTAACTGTATATGTGTGTATATATAACTTGAATATTAAAATTATGAATAATATTATTTTTATTATTATATAATAAATTGTTTAATACATTTTATATTAAGATGTGTATATCACTAATGTATTTATTATTATTATTGTGTATTTATGAATCACTTTTTTTCTTTAAAGGATATTTAAGGATATTCTCAAAAAAGGAAGCATTGTTTATATATTTTTAGTTATTGTTTTTAACTACTGAAGACATTTTTCTGCAAATTTGGGTGCAAATAACTAGAGTAACACATGTATATCATAATGATATCGGTCATGACCATTACCCCACTCATAACAGCTATTATAAGTACCCAAGTGCGCACATAGTCCTGGAACACCCTCCTCCTTCCTGTTTAATATATTTTCTGTGGGCAACTTTCCCCATGCTGGAACATGACTGATATTAGTCTAGAGCCCCACTGATGGTGAATATCTTTTAATTCCTGTCCATCTGCGGTGCACTAATAACTGTGTGTGTGTGTGTGTGCGAAGAGTGTGTGTGAGTGTTACAGCTCAGCAGGAAAAATAGAGTGTATAATTGGCTAGTTAATCCCAGCGTGTGGCAGAAGTTTGTTGCTCATCTTAGTCTGTGTGTGTGTGTGTGTACTGTACAAGTCCACAGATAGTCACACACCTGCACATTAATTAAAAGCCATGCCTGGTTAATTAGTATTTCTTTTCCTCTTGTGTATTTTATTTTTCCTTAATTTATTTATATTTTTTTTAGATCTATCCACAAGTGCATAAATAATTTACGGAATATTAATTGCGGTCCTCAGAAGCAGAAAGGTGCACTGGCTACTTCAGATACAGTCAGCAGTTCTTTTTCCTGTGTGTGAGTGTGTTTGTGTCATTAAAGTGCTGCGTTTGTGCACTCTGCAGCAGGTAGATAACAAGCTCTGCTCTTAACGACCTGACTAATTAACAGCATGGAAACAGAAATGGGCTTTCCATTAATCAAGAGATGTGCGCAGGCCTGCCCAGACAGCATGCCATCCAAACCCTTTGGGGACGAGCGTTAAGGGCCCCAACAAACTCACAATTTTAAACGTGCACAAAATGCCTTATCATGCTCATAAACACTCAACGTCCACCTTAAACACTGCTACTCGGGCAGCCTCACACCCAACAAACAGCATTTCACACGTTGTATTGCATTTATTCACAGTCTCTGTTTGGAAATCAAAAGAGAATCGAGTTGCGTGTTTCTGCGGAGGGTGAAATGTGTATCTATATATAATGTGTTATATTGTTATATATATATATATATATATATATATATATATATATATATATATATATAGCAATCACTTAAAGAATAGACAAATGCAGAATATTTAAAATTGAAATATACAGTATAATATGAATATTGTAATATATACAATCTAACATGCATGTGTGTGGATAGATAGATAGATCATGTGATACTTTATACTGGAGGATTGGCTGATGGAATTTCACCGTTGCATCACAGAAATTAATTATATTTTAAAGGATAATAAAATAGAAACCATTATGTTGTAACAACATTTTGCAAGATTACTGTTTTTTTCTGTAATTTTGATCAAATAAATGCAGCCTTGATGAGCATAAGAGACTTCTTTACAAAACATTACAAGTCTTACTGATCTCAAACTTTTGGCTGGTAGTATATGTGTACATATATATGTGTGTGTGTGTGTGTGTATGTATATATATGTTTATACATATACATATATATATATATATATGTATTGCAATATTTTTTGCGTGTCAGCTTTACATAATTGCAATATTATAATTGTCAACGTGTCAGCTTTACATAATTGCAATATTATAATTGTCAACGTGTCAGCTTTACATAATTGCAATATTATAATTGTCAACGTGTCAGCTTTACATAATTGCAATATTATAATTGTCAACGTGTCAGCTTTACATAATTGCAATATTATAATTGTCAACGTGTCAGCTTTACATAATTGCAATATTATAATTGTCAACGTGTCAGCTTTACATAATTGCAATATTATAATTGTCAACGTGTCAGCTTTACATGATTGCAATATTATAATTTCTAATATAAAAAATAATATAAAAATATATGTATTATATATTTATAAAGTGTGGCTTATAGGTCACTTTTTATTATTCATCTTTATAAATCTTTTGTTATATAACTGCTTCGGGTGTGTGTGTGTGTTCACTGCTGTGTGTGTGTGCACTTTGGATGGGATAAATGCAGAGCACTAATTCCGAGTATGGGTCACCATACTTGGCCACATGTCACTTCACTTTCACTTCACTAAATCTTTTGGGGTCATCATGTGATGTCCAAAGTCTGGGTCACCAGACCAAACCAGTTGCAAAACCACTGCTTGATAAAACATCTGTTCTTTCTACCCTCAGAGAGTCATTTGGATGTGTAGTTTCACATCTCTTACGTCAGCGCCTGGCCTGTCTGTGCATTTGCGTTGGCTTCTTGCCTTTAGACCCCCCTTAGCATCCCGTGGTCATGCTAAAGACAAGCAGGGAGCCAGAACTGACTTCTCCCCAGAGGTGGTAACCCTCCTTCCCCCCTCCGTCTCCACCCTCGGCCGGCCCTTAACAGAGTCTTACTCCAACACTGTGAACGCTGACGCCCTCACCGCTCCTGCAGGCAGATAATGATCTCCCACCGCTTTCCTAATTGGCCAAATAAACACTCTACAACACAGCGCTAACACAGACCTGGCTATTGCGTTTTAATTAATGGTGGAGGACCCTAAATGGCTTCATTAGAACTGTTGTTTCAGCTGTTTTTTTGTTTTTCTTTTTCTTTTTTTGTTGGTTTGCTTTTTTCCCTTTTCTTTTTTCCTTCTGTTTGGAAAACCACATCTCGCGTGTCTGGTCTTTATTTTCCTTCTCTCTTAGCTGCTTATTGCAGGTCCTTTTATTAGTGCTAATGAATGGCAATATTTATTTGCCTGGCTTTTAAAGTGGAGATGTTCAGTTTAAACAAATCTCGCTACGAATCAGGGAAGACTGGCTTTCAGCTTATTACTAATTTGCTTTAAATGTTTTGAGTACGTGATTCGGAAGCCAGACCTTTCTTAAAACCTGTGTGTTCTTAATTTATAGTAATGCCTTCACGTAGTTTACTTTGCAGCGGCCTGGTAACATACACCTGCTTTATGATGAAACTCTGTATTGACATTTTAATGAGTTTTTACTGTGTTATTGATCAGGTTAATCCTTAAGTATACTAATAATGAAATTAATTAAACTGAACTGGCAGCTGCAAGTGACATCAGTTAATAATGCTCTGAGACATTCAGCTTTTATTTTGTTTTCCGGTGAACTCCGTATTGATTCCCTCAGGACTTTTCAAATAGTCTGGTTGTAGAAATGTACACAGTACAGTCAGTGATGCAAATGAATTTTCTTAGTGTTCTTTTTCTTTTTAATCTAAAAGTACTGCTCAAATTTCACATGAAGACATATTTACACTAACAGTGCTGGTAAATTTTCCCTTCAGCTGCACTTTTTTTAAATTATTATTGTATATAATATAGAAGCTTATTATACTATTTATTATAAGTTCCACAATATTTGGGCCTAAATCTTTACATTTAGCCTTTAGTTGCATTTGCTTATTTTTATTAATATTTAGCTGCAAGTGACATCAGTTAATAATGCTCTGAGACATTCAGCTTTTATTTTGTTTTCCGGTGAACTCCGTATTGATTCCCTCAGGACTTTTCAAATAGTCTGGTTGTAGAAATGTACACAGTACAGTCAGTGATGCAAATGAATTTTCTTAGTGTTCTTTTTCTTTTTAATCTAAAAGTACTGCTCAAATTTCACATGAAGACATATTTACACTAACAGTGCTGGTAAATTTTCCCTTCAGCTGCACTTTTTTAAAATTATTATTGTATATAATATAGAAGCTTATTATACTATTTATTATAAGTTCCACAATATTTGGGCCTAAATCTTTACATTTAGCCTTTAGTTGCATTTGCTTATTTTTATTTATTTTATTTTTTTTGTACACTACAAATCAAAAGTTTGAGTAAGATTTTATTTTTTAAATAATAATAATAATGCTTTAATTCAGCAAGGATGCAGTAAATTGATAAAAAAGTAACACTGAAGACATTTACAAGGTTATATGATTTCCATTTCAAATAAATGCTTTCCTTTTGAAATTCATATTAATCATAGAATCCTGAAAAAAAAATTTAGCATGGTTTTCATAGATGCATGACATTGCTTTCAACACTGATAAAAAAAAATGGTTCTTGAGTACTAAATCAGCATATTGGAATAATTTCTGAAGGATTTGTGTGACACTAAAAACTGGCGTAATAGCTGCTGAAAATTCAGCTTTGCCATCACAGGAATAAATTCTATTTTAAAATATAATGAATTACATTGTAAATTTATTAAAAATAGAAAACTTTTGTAATAATATTTTACAATATGTACTGATTGTATTGATCAAATAAGGGGCAGTCTTGGTAAGCATATGAGCCTTTCTTTCAAAAACAGACACCAAACTTTTGAACGGTAGTTCAACTTTTTTTGTTACCTTTTTTTGCTCCTTTTCAATGGCTTGTAAATGGTCATCGTTCCATTTAGGGCTCAGAAGTTGAGTAGCACTCTACTTTTGGAGAGCAGGATTCCCTCTCTCTCTCTCGTGCCCCTTTTCCTGTGGTCATCTGGGCGGCTGTCCTGTGTTTGTTTGGTGACTGTGTGGGGCCGTTGAAGATGAGTGTGTTAAAGGTTTAACAGGATTACCTGCCATCAACATCATCAAGGCCCAAAGAAAACAGCCGCCCGGGCCTCTCCTCCATTGCACAGCCACTTCTTGCTTTAATAAACCTCTTCAGGATTACGGTGATATGAGTCTCCACACCCTTCAAATGATCTCTTTTCTTCTTCTGTTTACTTTGGCCGTCGGAGAACGTATTGTTCTGGAGTGGAGATCTCACGTTTGAATTCATTTGGTCTTAACATCCCCCGTCGGTGCATTGCGGGTTAAGGTTGTCAGTCAGGGGGTTGTAATCATACTTTCATTTTATGACTCTGTGTGAGTGTGCGTTTGTGTGTCAGTCGAGGTGTTAGAAGCACAAGTGCAGTCGCTGTTGCACAGCGAAGTCTAATTTCATTCAGAAGGGCCAAACAGAAGGTTTCTGAAGAAACTAACAAGTGCTGGGAAAAGAGGGAGGGAGTGAGAGGAAGAAAAAGAGCGAAAGACAAGGAGAGTGGAGGAAAACAACAGCTTTGTTTGTTGACAGATGCTTCTCCTCTTATGGTCTGTTAATTGGATAACAATGTAAACAATCATCCATGGCATCTGTCTCCTGCCATTGGAGTGCCACCTTGTTTCTCTCATTCCCCTTTAAAAGAGAACAGTCATCAACACAAACACGCGCACACATCTGCGCCACCCTAGAACCTCATTTACTTCTACCTGATGCTGTGGTGTTATAGCAGGTTTTCAGGTTCATTTCCATTTGAAATTTTTCTTAAAGCTCTCGTATGAAAGAAAGGGAAGACATCCTGGTGGGAGCGACGTGTTTTTACGACATCTTACTACCCCCTCCTGTGCCCTCAGGTCAGATTGAAAAACAAAAGGCATAAGTCACACGCTAAAATGAGGTTTGGGGCAACACAGCTAATGTGCTGAAGCGGGTGTGATATCTGTACTTACCCCCCTTCGAGATGCCAAACCCGCCGATAATACGCTGTCACTTTGAACTTACTGTTGTCTGTGCAGTGCTTCACGTCAGGTGTGTCCCAACGAGGCCTTTACATCAAAACAGTTCTTTTTTTATGTAAAATTAGTTTTTTGGACATTAGAATTATTGTTTTTGTTATGGAGCAGAATTCTGCCTTTAAAGTATATTTCAAGTTAAATAAAATTAATTGACAACATGTGTGTAATTAGATATTAAAAATTAACAATGAAAAGTACTTTTTATTAATCTTGATTGTTAATTTCTACATATACTAATGATTGAAAGTTGGATTTTTTAATGAATACTTTTTTTCAGCAAGAAAGTATTCATTTTAACAAAAGTGACAGTAAAGACTTTTAAATTGCTACAAAAAAACTCAAATAAATGCTTTTTTTTTATTTGTTTTTTTATTTTTTATTTTTTATTTTATAAATGTTCTGTTTATCAAAGAATCCTGGAAAAAAATTTGTTGCAGTTTCCACAAAAAATATTAGGCAGCACAGCTTTTTTCAAAATTACATATAGTTATAACATTAAGAAATATATCTTAAGCACAGAATCAGCATATTAGAATGATTTCTAAAGAGTCATGTGACACTGAAGCCTGGAATAATGGCTGCTTAAAATTCAGCTTTGTCATCACAGGAATAAATAATATTTTAAAATATATTAAAATCTAAAACTGTTATTTTAAATTGTAATATTATTTCACAATGTTACTGTTTTTACAGTATTTTTGATCAAATAAATGTAGCCTTTGTGAGTGTAAGAGAGCTGGCAAAAGTCCCCCAAAATTTTGAACAGTACTACATACATTTTTAGCTATTTAAGTTATGTAAATTAACATTAATGAACAATAGTATAATTATTATTAAGGTTAATCTGTGCTGTAAATGCTATACAAATTGCTATTCATGATTTCATGATATAATGCATTCATTCGGTGATATCTATAATGTGGCATGCTGCCAGTTACCACAGAAAATTATTTTAATTATTCCTCAGTTTCTCTAAAAGGACTTTACAGAGCTTTTTCTCATTATTGTGGCAAAAATGAGTAGGCATTTTGATTTGGGCCAGTAAGAAAAGCACCCATGACACCTTAGAAACCATGAAATATGGAATGGTTTTTGAGATTTTTTTTTTTTCAGTATGTGGCATATATTCTTTTTATTCCATCAGCTTTGTAATATTGTCCAATGTCCTGTCTGCTTTAACAGAAATTACACTATACACAGCTTTATTCTCTGACCCCGTGACCTTCCAGTCCAGCTGCTTTCAGCTCTTGTGTTTTAATTACAAACACGTAGAGCTGGAGGGGTCTTCGAAGGCGAGAATAGGCCTTAATCAGAGCCCTGTCACCAGGCTGCAGTTAAGCCCCTGTCCTGAGCACTGTGGCCGTACGAGGTGTAGACACCCAGGTGTGAGCAAAGGCCCCGTGTAACAAGAGAACGCTCTGCTATTAGCTCACTACAATGCAGCCATCATCTCCCGCTTTCCTTTTCTCTCTCTGCGCAGGATCGCAAGCCTCTTTCACAAGTGCTAGTCACTCCTCATCAGCTGGGAAAATCCCTGAACCGAGATGTGGATGATGGTCATGTCAGCACAAATGTCAGTTAGTTTGCTGTTAAAAGTGTGGCCAGTGATTGCATTGCTCTTGGATAATGAAGTCGGGCTTCACTCATGGAGATTATTAGTGGCTGACGAGTTCTCACCCCATTGCTATCGTGTTTGGTTTGGATCGGTCCATTTGCGATAACAAACAGCTACTATCCCAAAGGGAAACAGGACACGTACCTCACACGGGGACATTATCGCATTATGGCGCTAACCAATGACATCAGAAGGCTAGACCCCACACATCGCTTAGTTTAGGAGGAATGGCCAGACTTAACCTGCACACCTCATGAACAGCTTTTTTACAATCTTAATATTGCAATAATGGCCAGTTCATAACAAGAACGAAAGATTACTATAATATCTATATTAGCATCCATAAAGCGTTCGGTTTATTGTAAGTGCATCCTGCAGTTCTGTCGTCTGCCGCTTGAAATGCTTGAGCTCTTTAAAAAAAGATGGATTCTGTTCGGCTGTCAGTGTTTTTAGCATTCATCAGCTGGAAAAAAGTCATTCTGAAAGTGATTCCAACTATATCATTCATCTGTGCTGTTATTGTTACAGTTTTGATGTGGACTTTGCTAGTCTATGGAAGCTTGTTTCCACCATAAGATTTATATTAAAACACATTAAAAAGGTAATTGTGACTTTTTTTTCTCAGAATTGCGCGATATAAATGAAGAATTGCAAGATATAAACTGAAAAAAGTCACAGTTGCAAGCTGACTTGCATTTTTGAGAATAAAGTTAGAATTGTGAGATATAAACTCACATTTGCAAGAAAATATATCAGAATTGTGTGATTTAAAAGTTGCAATTAACCATTTTTTTAATTCCGTAGCAGAACCAAAAAGTCAGAATTGTGAGATATAAACTCAGAATTCTGTGGAAAAAAAAAACTCAATTGCGAAAAAGAAGGTTCTGAGTTTATATATTGCATTTTGGACACTTTTTCAGAGTCAATTCTAACTTTTTTTCTCAGAATTGAAAGTCAAAATAGTGAGCTAAAAAGTTACAATTACATTTTTCAAACAGGCTTCCATACTATTTACTTGTAGTTATGATGTATGTATGCAGTTGTGCTGTTGAACTTTGTAATGCTGCCAGGATTTGTTTGTCTATTGTGACTTTTTTGTATTTTATTTTTACTATTTTGCTTGCTGTAAGGTGACCTTGGGTGTTTACAAGGCACCATTGAATAAAATGCATTTTTATTTATTGTTATTCTTTTAAAAGTGACCTATTATGCCCCTTTTTACAAGATGTAAAATAAGTCTCTGATGTCCCCAGAGTGTGTATGTGAAGTTTTAGCTCAAAATACCCCACAGATATGTCGTTATAGTCATCCTCCTTGGTCTTAAAATTGGCACAATTTTTTTTATTCCTTGAGCATTGAAAAACATCTCAAATTTGCTTTTTTTTCTTCATCTCTTCCCAGATAACGCAGATAGACCCGGCTTGGAGTCTGGTGGAGGCTAAACTCTTCCCTCAGGAGACCCTGTTCCTGGAGGCCAAAGAGTAGGACTGATCTGAGATGTCCTGAGGCGAACAAGAAGAATAAGCAAAGAACTTTTAGCATGATGTCCACAGCGACCAGACACACACCCACACACACACACAAGCCGTCACACACTATCACACAGTGCGTTGTATATGAATGCTGAGTGTACATTTTATGCACACGGAGGCCTTCACAAGCACATGGATAAACGATCACTCTCCCCCCATAACTGCAGTGTAATGTTCTTTTTCCACCCAAAACGTAAGGTAACCGAAAAGAAAAAAAACAAGCAGAGGTTTGGAAGTCTAAAACAGCCAGCCTCACAGACAAGGACTTCTCACTGCGGCTGCTTTTTAGACATGTTTTGTGTTGAAATGAGACAAAAAATATCAATTTAAAAAAATGACAAATAAATAAAAGTCATACAAAGAGACATTTCCTGGAGAACGCCGGACCATTTCCTTTCCCAAGGTTCTCAGAGTCCCTGATTCTCAGCACAGCCCTGGACAGCCCATCATCCTGGCTTCTTCCTTATACCCAGAATGATTATATTTGGTTTAATACTCGTTTATTTTTCTCACTTTCCCCCCATTTTTTAGTTTGATGCTGTATTAGATTTAGGTTAATATACATTATATAAAGAATATATGAACATGCATGTGTCTTGCCACTCTAAATTTATTTTTACCTTCATGTGTGGGTGACTATATCATCATAACATCATCAAACCAGCACATGGCCTCCTCGCATTGAAGTTCTGCATTTTTAATACATGGCTGCTAAGGTAAATTTAAAGGATTCTTACACTATTTATGAACTCGCATGTCCTTCCAAAGTTGCATGAGTGTTTTCCAAACAGAAATTATGAAACATCTGAATGAGGATTAGATCTTCAAAAATGACACAAGCATCATAAACATGGTCTATATGATTTGTGTGCAATACAGCAAGTTTTCTATAGACATCTGAAGGTAGAAATCGAAGTCATTTTTTAATACCAATCTTGGTGGAGTATAGCAATGTTTGAATCATTTTGGATTTGTTAATGAATCGGACTGAGCAAAAAATTCTCTTTTTATTAAAGTCATTGAGGTTTGGAACAATATGTGGGTAAGCAAATGACAGGGTTTTCATTTTTTGCTTTAAACTGTTCTTTTAACATCCTATGACAGGAGTAAAATAACATCGCACCAATTTATTTCTACCCAGTTATTTTCCAGATTACTGAAGTCAGGATTGTTACAAGTTATTTGAAATATTTTGATTCAGTGAGGAATTTACCCTGGGAGTGCCACAAATATCTTCACTGCTGATGTGAACTACTTAGGGGTTAACATTGTAATTCACTGGAGCTTGTGGCTCTTTTTTTATTATTATTATTGTGCATGAGACTGTAGCCAGTGGCGGTCACATGACTGATCATGTATTTTAAAAGGACTCAAAGAATCTCCACTGATCACTTTGAGGAACTGTCTGGATGCTGCATGACGTGCAGAGACACTGAAGTACTGACAGTAGATGTAGAGTTTGTTTTTTGTTTTCCTTGACATCTCTGATGAGTATTATTAGCCATTATGGCTATTTTCCCCGTTGAACCTTGAAATGAAATGCTTATTGTAATCTCTGCAGCTCCACACATTTTAATGAGAGACAAGCAAGACTGTGCTCTTGTTTGGGATTGATCAAGTTATATAATTTTCAAAATATGATATATGATGGTTCATCCTGATTCTTTGTGGATTTTGGTCGATGTATTGAAAGCTAATGAAATGATCTGCTAAACTATAAGTAGTGAACAGAATGTGTTTTATGTAAAGTACAGTTCCTCATGGGCACTTGACCTTTTGGATAGAAGGAGTCTAACCTGCAGGCTGTTTCATTTGTGTTGTCTGCCTTCTCACGCAAGGAATCCGAACGTTTATTGTGTGCATCCAGTCATACTTCCACTGTAGGTGATGTGCCCTGAGAAGACATGAATCATTCGGTTTCTCACACACACTGTTTGGTGAGAATGAGTTTAGTATGTTAAACTAACTCAAGCATTGTGGTGTTCTGGCCAGTGAGTTCAGTATTCATTTCAGACAAAGGAGAAAGCAGCCTTATTCAAAGTGACAACAACAAACTAAATGTGTTGTTGGGTAACAATTCTCTGAAATCGGCTCTTGTGTGTTCGTCAGCCCCAAAATGAGCATTCACAAAATGTGAATGTTTCTTCCTTCTTATGGTTTATATGCTCACTTCTGCTGTGCAATTTAATGTTGTCAAATATGAGTAATGCCTGTGTAAATTGGACTTTGAATGCGTTTCAGAATCTGCAGATAGCTGTTCTAAGTTTGGCGTAGTCTGCTCTCCCGTGTTTTCAAGAAAGAGCAAGCACTGAAAGGTAAGATTTTCTTTGTTTTCATCATGCTCGATCAGGTGTGAAAGACTGGTAAATCCAGCCCGAGGGAGAAATGCTGGTTATGCAGCTCCTGTGTGCGTGTGATATTACTGTTTCAATGACTGAATGATTGGTTAATGCATGCAGACATTGACTTTGTACTGACACAGACAGCAGTGATGAGCAGGTCGGAAATGCTATCATTTTAAGCAGTGAACTGATATTTCTTTTAGCTTGATCCGGCTTGTCTACACTTCGTTAACGGCGTTCTTTTGGCAGGTGTGTTCTGAGCAATTTGAGAAGAGCACAATAATGCCTACAATTGAAACCGTAATCCTCTTGTTTGGAAAAAAATAATCCTGTATCAAAGGACATAATGTTTTTTTTTTATTTTCCTCCCATTTTAAACATTTTTATTAGCTTTTAGACTTTATAGACTGTAAAAAAAAAAAAAGATGACCAATAAGTTATGAGGTGTTTTTACATTAACTCGTCAAAATAAGTTAAGCAGATTTCAACTTTTTAATCTTCAAATTGATCAGTTGTACAAGGTTCAACTCATTTTAAGCCAGTTTATTATAATTTAATGTAATTTGTAAGTTGATTTTACTTAAAAATTCAAGTTATTTCAAAATTCGTCTTTTTTTTTTTTTTTTTTACCTTGTATAAACTTTTTTTACCTTGTCTTTAAGGGTCAAGAATGGTGTGGGTGTTTATGTGTAATATATATATAATATATATTCTTGACACTAAAAGATTAGCCAAGTTATTGAACAGTTAAATTTAAAAAAGGACACAGCTTGAAAAAAGGATAGCCTTAAAAATTATATTATAAAACAACAAGCACATATGTATATATATATATATACTTTTTTGTAGTCTTTAATATATTCCTGATGCTTAAAGACTACTCAAACATTGAACAATTTTCTTTTGATATTTTAGTATGACTGTGCCCTTATTATTACATTAAATGTGTGTGTGTGTACAAACACACATGCTATTTCATAAATATTATTTATTTTATACTTTATAAATATTTTGTTATTTATATGTTTAAAAAAGACAACTTGTGGAAAAAAAGGAAGTAATATTTTTATCGTGTATATGCATATGTGTGTGTATATATATATATATATATATACACACACACGCACAACTTGACACGTCAAGTGACTTTACTTAACGTGTGTGTATATTACATGTTTATATTTACTTATATAGTGCTTTTAACAATACAGACTGTCAAAGCAGATTTACAGTATTCAATAGGAAAAATAGTGTAATAATGCAAAACCGTAAACACTTCATTTTCATTTGTGTGTGTGTGTGTGTATACATATATATTTTGTATTATTTATATTTAATATCGGCATTTTTAAAAGTTTTATTAGTAATATTGAGTTTTGCATTTGTCAATGTGATTTTCTTTTTGTTGCCCATTTGTCAGATCTGTGACATCTCAATCCGTGACCCTGAATTGTAGCTGCTGTCAGTCAAGAATCCGATTTTCCAATGCCATCATGGTTTGATCCCAAACTCTTTATTTAGGGACAATAGAGTTATTTTGTGGCTTCTTGTGACACAGATTCTGCTCTGGCAACATCAGGTGGTGGCTCGATTCTTCAATGACAAAAGGGAAGCGTTCAATAATGTTTGACTAGTCTTTAAGGGTCAAGAATGCTGCTGGCCCTTGGTGAGAGAAGAGAATTCCTGACGCAAGTGATCTCTTCTTTGAAGCAGTTCCTGATCCCACAGCATCCACTCACCCAACGATGCTGAAATCCCAGACTAAACTAACCTGGAGGGTCACTCAAAGTTTACTTTCTCAGAGACGCTAGAGAAACAGAATCTATGCGGCTTAAAGAGTCGCCCGAAAAAGGGGCTCATTTGTGGTGGGCAATGTGTGCGAATGGAGTGAGTGAGACGGGAGGGGTTGGTGTGAACAGAAATTGTTTTATTGGCTGCTTCCAAAAGGAATGCTTTAGTCATCCTGACAGATCTCCAGGAGTTTTCAATAGAGTTTTCATTTCATTAGGTATGGAGCCCTGAAGTTTACTGTAGGTGGAACTTACTTTTTGACTATTTATGGATGTTTCTTCAATTAAGGAAATTTACCCTGTTTTTTTAATGATTGGTTTTGGCTTGTTTGTTTTTAGTAGTTTTCAAAGTTTAAATAGATTTTAAAATGTGTCTTTATAATTGATTTAAATTTGATCGAGTATCTCTTCCCCCACTTTAATGCATTGTTGAAATCACACTTTTAATTAATTTAATGTTTTAATAGCAAAAAATACTGTAGCCAATACAGCTTTTTAAGAACAATTTCTCCAAAAATGGTCAAGTTTCTATTTGTTTACTGGTTGTGAAAAAATTAGCAGTGACATGAGAGCACATCTCTGCCTGAGAAATGTCATTTTACATAATATTATTTTAAACTGAGAAATCGCATATTTTATATATATTTTTGATGGCATCTAGATAATAATAATTGGATCTCCAGAAATGACAAAGGTAAACTTTACCTTTAAACTTTATTGGCAATTGGCATCAAACGTTTTTCCCAAAATGAATAAAAGAAATACACTGAAATACACAACTTTTGTATCCTTTATTTACCAATAAATCACAAACGCCCAGTTTAGTCCTGGTAGACAAACAACCTCTAGTAATATTAACTGATTTCTTTGTAGATCTTCACTACATATTAAGACGTCATCTTTCCTTCAAAAATATTTTACTCAGCAAAGCAATGAGGCAGATCTTCAAGACAATGAAGGAAGCTCTTTTATGAGAACTGTAGTGCATTTGACCCTTTTGCCTAACACAGGCCTACAATGCATTTATTAAATTAAACGTAGGCCTATAGTCAGAACTTGAATAAAATAAAATGTTTTTCCCCATCTTTTTTACATTGCATTAAAATTTGTGTTTTAAACTTTTGCTGGGCTATATTAATAATATAGCTTAGAGGCATAATATACTTTTTAAAAATGTGATTTATTTA